AAAAAGGTCTATACTGTCTCATCTGCCGTAGTCGCAACATCTGGCCCCTTGTTACTTTCTACATTGTAATCAGAGTTTATAGAAACAACAGGTTTTTCTTAATGATAAGTAGTAAAAGGGCTGAGTCCAAATTCTTACACATTTGCATTCAGTCCTCCCCAAGACTTTCTGCTACCCTTTATCTGTACCTCGGCTCTTTTTCACTCGTCCATAAAATGAGAAGCACTTGAGCAAATTTATATTTACATGCATAAACAAATAAAATAACTATTTTATATTCCAAGCTTTTAGTAAGTAAGATAAGCTGAAGAAAAATACTTACATTAGAATTGACTCAAACATCTTTGTATTCCATACATGTCACGCCGTTATGAGCAATCCATCAATAGCAGAATGTTGGGTTCTATTTATAACAAAGTGGGCGATGGTTGGCAAACATGTTCTGGACGTGCTCTATAACATTATATCAGAATGTACAAATATTGTAAGACTTCTATACAATATCGTGGGTGTTTTGCCTTATAATGTTAATACTTTTTTATTTATTCAAATTCAACATATTTGCTATGCTCTACACCTTCATTTTATTAAATTTTTCATCTATAGGATGTGTAACACTTTGGTAAACTTTTATCTGAAGAGAATTCTGTATAATCTAACATGTAAAAGTGACAAAAAAACGATATAAGACGCATACAAACAGAATGTTTTAAGTTTACCTAAAACAAACAAATAAATTAAATTCAAGTGTATATAGCTTTATATCGGAGGCCCTCGACTTTTTTCACATATAAACTGTCCTCAAATTAACAAACATTAAACTTTGGTGCACTTTAAAATTGCTTACCTTCTCTCAAAACTTATCTCAGCACAGTTTTGTTTAAATATAATAAAGGAGTTTTGAAAAAAAAATATTTTGACACAATAAATATCAAGATTTAAACCGCAATGTAAATATCTTTTGGACAAAGGATAGTGTTATAAACATAACATTCATCTTATTGGAGACATTGTGATTTGTTGTCAGACTTACATGGTTTTATCTTGTTGTATATATTATGTATTGTTGCCACACTTACATGGTTTTATCTTTTGTAGATATTGGGTTTTGTTGCCAGACATACGTGATTGATTTTATCTTGTTGCAGATATTGTGTTTTGTTGCTAGACTTGCAAAATTTTATGTTGTTGCAGAAAATTGTGTTTTGTTGCCAGACTTACATGGTTTTATCTTGTTGCAGATATTGTGTTTTGTTGCCGGGTTTTCATTGTTTATTCTTGTTGCAGATATTGTGTTTTGGTGCCAGACTTATATGGTTTTATCTTGTTGCAGATATTGTGTTTTGTTGCCGGGTTTTCATTGTTTATTCTTGTTGCAGATATTGTGTTTTGGTGCCAGACTTATATGGTTTTATCTTGTTGCAGATATTGTGTTTGTTGCCGGATTTTCATTGTTTATTCTTGTAGATATTCTGTTTTGTAGCCAGACTTACGTGACATCTTGTTGTAGGGATTGTTTTTGTTTTATTTGTTTTATCTTGTTTCAAATATTGTGTTTTGTTGCTAGGTTTTCATTCTTTATTCTTGTTGATCTTGTGTTTTGTTGCCACACTTACAAAGTTTTATGTTGTTCGAGTTATTGCGTTTTGTTGCTGGACCTATATTGTTTCGTCTTGTTGGTGATATTGTGTTTTGTTGTCAGACTTATATGGTTTCACCTTTTTCGCGATATTGTGTGTTGTTGCCAGGTTTTTATTGTTTCGTTTTGTTGGAGATATACGATCAGACCTTCATTGTTTTATGTTGCTCAAGATATTGTGATTGTTGCCAAACCTATATTGTTTCATCTTGTTTGAAATATTGTGTTTTATCTCCAGGCTTACATTGTTTCCTCTAAACGTTGTAAAAGACTGGCTACGGAAGAAATTCGTGTGCTAAAGTTATTATGAAAACGTCAAACAATCTTGACTGAACTACACATTATCATTCAAAAGTACCAACGTATTAATAGCTATATAAATGACATACAAGAGACACAGAGAACTAATTAAATATTACATACAAACGGTAGTCAAAATATATATGAGTGCTCCTTCGTACACTAGTATAAAATAAATATAATCAATTGTGATGTCTGTTAACAGGTCAAGTTTTAGAAATAGCATTATTAATGTATAACATGAGCAAATCAATTATTTAAAGAGCCATTTAAAGCAATTCAACGATGCATATAATACATTCGTGAATTAAATATGTGTCACAATTACTCTTAATTACATAAAAAAAATTACATTAATTATTGCACAACGTTACAAATGGTTATGTGAAGAATTGTGCACATTCTCAATGAAAAGTTATAGTACTGCGCTTGATATTCACAACAAGTGAAATATTATCTTTGAAAGTACTTTGCAAATCGACAATTGTTTAATTTCAAACTTGAGACAGAGTTTTTAATACTTGTCAAAACCTTATCGAAGGAGGCAATAAGTTCAAAAATGTTATACGGTGTGCCAAAAAAATAAATCACATGCAAATAAGTAAATTATTGTGTAATCTTAATTCATTTTATTATTATCCGTGCGACTATAATGCCTGGACATTTTGGGAAAAAAATAAATAACACATATGGATTCGTGAGTAACTGTAAAAAATATCATCCCTCATAAAAAATACTGTTATACACGGCGTAATTTCCTCGGGTTGATATTTTTACTGTTACCCACAAACCCATGTGTTATTTATATATTAATTTATTCGCTTAACATATTCTAATACAACCCCACTAAAACACGTGCTTAGAGTGGGAAATGATGATGTAAAAATTCTCCCCGTACATTTAATCATGATGTTATATTTTCGATCCTTGTAGATCGTTCAGCACGACATTATTGTTGTGTAAACATGTTATGTGGTATTTTTAGTTCCTTCTATATGGCCTTTTCAACTTGGGTGGTTCCAGTATTCCTATTTGAATTCTGTATAATCACCCTTAGGATATGTTGCCTGCTTTTTAGATTTGTCGTTTGGCGTCTTGTCTGTGATATGCAGGCTTCATAATCTCATATTCCCTTCCAAAATTCCATTTTATTTAGTTTCGCCCATTGTTTTCTCGTTTAGGACACACGCTTTCTTTTACTTGGGGACCACACGCCGCTTTTCATGAAATGGCACTACTGTGTCACATTGTAGGTTCCATGTTAACCGCCGTATGAACACATCTGTGGATTTTTCTATGTTCAAATTTTCATTTTTTCCGTATTTAAAATTTAATTCTGCTTAAGCCGGTGATAGGGTGGTGTGGACAGTGGGCGAGCTTGCAAGATTTTCAATTTTGCGTGGTGGACTTTCTTTAGGGATTCTGTTTTTCTCTATTTTGCATTTTTCAAATACTATATGTAGTCCATGTTCTTGACTGGTCTCCTTTTTTATCTATTTACTCTCCGGATCGAACCAGGCCTGCATGTGTTTATTTATTTGTTATAATTATAATATAATATAGAAGAAAAGAAGAAATGTTGTTGTTGTTTTTTGTTGTTGCTTTTTGTTGTTGTTTTTTTTGTTGGAATTATTAATTTGGGCTGCAAATTCTTACATTCATAAATTAAAACAGCCTGGTTAACAAGACTTTGACCTATTAAAAATATTTACACGCAATCACGGCGGACGTTGCGTTGAACTTATTATTAATGTAGATCTAATATATGCAAGTAAAACATTATTTTTGATTACTCTACTTTAAGTGTTTAGTTGCAAAAATATCATAAAAATCCTATGAATTAATGAGACATAGAGCGGGGTTTATTGTATTATTTACAATAACTTGTATAAGAATTACCTCCCTTTCTAACAAAATATACGAAAATTGAAACAGTACGGTTTAGCATATATGAACTGGGAACCAGTAATAATTCTGCATTGAGGCTACGCGGTACTACTGTGTAAATCGCAAAACAAAAACAAGCAACAGCCGTAGAAAGTAAAAGATGCATATAATCAAAATAGCTCATAAAATTTGAATTGTATAGGCTTGCAGTAAATGATATAGTGATTCTGATTCTAGACGCACGATGAGTACTATAAAGTGTAGTCAAGTTAATGAGACTATCAGTGGAGGTAAATACTATATATAAATAGACGTACGTGTTACTTTTTCAAAAGTTGGAAGTTATTTTACAGTGAAAGATTGATATACATGACTGTTTACCTATTTATTTATATAGTCACATGTAACACAATAACAGATCATGTTACAGCTAAATGAGTCCAAATAAACATAACTGCTCAATACATGTACATGTTGAAAAGGGCTGACTTTGTCATCAATGTGTTGATAGTGTTCTTATACAGTTTATAAAATTCTTATATAGAGTATATTCAAGTTTTTTGTTTTTGTTTTTTGTATAAATACAGTATTTATTTTCATCGAGTGGTATGAAAATAAATATTTCATGAGTGGTGGTAGCCACGAGTAAAATATGATAATTTTCATACCACAAGATGAAAGTAAATCCTGTATGTGTGGGAAAACTTGAATTTTGTGTTTATTATATACATTTTCTATTATCTGACATCAGAATTTGAATGACTTTCCGTCAAATTTTGCATATTAGCTGTATATCGCAGCAAGTAGACCGGCAAACACCAGTGAAAATACGGAAAATATGTTTCACAGCAGTGAAAAATAAAACTTTTACAGTGAAAATACGGAAAATGAAAATACGTTTTTATTTCATCAATATTTCTCAATATTTCATTTATAATTAAGAAGAGTCTATATAATAAATTAAATTCTTATACAGACTTGAAAACGATTTCTTAAGATAAAACTGAGTATCCGTGAATAATCTTATTATCAGTTTTTGATAAACAAATTGATACACACGTATTTCAGCAATTCATTTTACATTAACAGAATTTTTATATAAGTATCTTTTTCCTTCATGCCACATTAATATCCGAAGTTTGACGGAAAGAGCCGAGAAGATGCGATTGTTCACAGTATGGTCTAGATATCTAGAGCCTGAAACAAGCAAAGCCCTACGGCAGAAGATCAAGGCGCGAACATTGCCTGAAATTAGGAAAAACAAAACAATATGAACTATAGATGATAGTCAAAGTAATTAATATTTTAAGTGTACATAACATTTTTTTGGAAACGATCATATATAATACCAGTGGCCATTTAGATCAAATTTTTCTTTCTCCGTTTGCCCGAAGGGAGGTAACTCGTAGAGTCACAGTACCTGTGCTCGACCAGCCCAGTGCTCGGCCAATACTTCTATTTGTGTACGATTTATGCATAAAAGTGGAAAAACCCCGGGAATTTGTTTGTGTTTTTGTACCTGACCTGTAACCTCTACACCATGTACAAGTACTCCAACTTTGGTAGAAGATTGGCCATTTTGCAGACAATATTTAACAGTACAAAAAAACATTTCTATAATAAAAGTAGCAGTAAAAACTATTTAAAACACTGAAATAATGGTAATTTAGGGCAAATATGGACAATACTTTGTTTAATTGCCTTTACTCTTATGATTCCAATTGATTTCCATAGGAAAGGTGTTCAAAAATTATCAAAACCCTGCTTTCCATAAAAGGCAGTGGCTATGAACATGTAAACAAATATGGCAGCTGTACGGAAAGAAATCGGAACACACCACTAAAAGCATAGACCATTTGTATTTTACAACAATTATCACACTTAACTATGTTTGCAGAGTGATTTTAGTAAAAGAAATATGAGAATTAGTAATTTCAAACACCCCAGTTTATGTAAATTCCAAAACTCTTATAAACACTTTATTTGTCAATGTATAGCATTTCCTTTGTATCATATTTGCTCTCATATTTTCATCTATAGACACTGAAACATAAATGTTTCAAAATATTTTTGAAATAGAATTGTTGAAAATAAAAAGTCAGATCTGTTTTTAAAAAATAAAAGTTCTGATAGAGATAAAACCACCTGGTCGAGCACTGGTTTGGTTGTCTGAAAAATATAGTGGTTTTATACCCTATATACAACTCCGTGGTAAATTGTATCCTAATCTGTGTTATTAAAACAATTTAGCTTATTGTGAGTTTGAAAGGTCCAGCTTTGTAACAAAAATAAGTTTCCCAGCAAACTTTTTGTTCTGAAAGAGTTTTTATGTGATTTTGTGAAAAACTGGTTGAGCACTGGTACGATGACTCTATCCATTTTTTTAGTTTCGGTCTATTGAAAACGGCTAAAAGCCTATGGTATACTGAATTCATAATTTCATGACTCGTATACCGAGATGTGCTTACATTTTGAACTAGTCTGTATAATAGATAGAAGTAGTAATGTGTCTAACGATATCTAGTCGAAACGTCCTCTAGTCAAAACGTCCCCACGGCCCACATCAATAAATTTGTATCAGTTTATTTGATTGCTCTTGTACGGTAGAGATAGGTGTAAATCTAATAAAGAAGTTAATCTTTTGTAATTATTATTTCAATAAAGTAACCTTAATTGTGATGGCATCATGCAATGCCGGACCCTGCAATGCTACACACACAAAACCATGCACTGGCCTCTTGTGCTTTTGGGGACGGAATAAATTTGGCTAGGTGCACAGTGTATACTAGGGCCTCATATTTCTGTGGTACCCATATTTCCAAGGTATAAGGCATAAACAGTCTCAAGTGCCTCAGACTTCATGCACCTGCCAGGAGTTTTACTTTAGTTTCCCTTTCTAATTGTATTTTATAATTGAAATGTAACACATAGGATGGTCCCCTATGGTACCATTGCTCTTATATTATTTCCAGTAAATTTTACAAATAACACTATAACACTCGCGAGAGGGGTTGGCAGTACTCAGAGATAGATAGATAGATAATTTGTATTTGCTATTTTTATTAAACTGTGTTTAACTTTCGCATCTTAACTTAAAAACACACATGTCATTCAAAGAATAACTCGATGATTTAAATTAGAAACATCTACTGTCAGTCAGCCATGTTTTGAATAGGAGCTTAAACGGAGAGCACTATGATACCGTGGTATGTAAATTGATGGCCCTTTTTGGCTTCAGTAGTTTTTTTTCAACACAATATGACATCGGTGTCAGCAGACGACCTTTTCTTTTCAGAAAATATCAATAATCTGTTTAACTGGTAAATATGGGGTAAAGTGAAGAAGTATTTTCAACACACGCGATCAGCTTTGGATTTTCAATGGCAGAAATCTATTTGCAATGAAAATATTTCCAACAATTTCTACCCAAATTAAAAAAAGCAACACTTCTACTTTCACTTTTAAATGGTGGAAACAGTTGTTTGGAGGCATTCAGTGTGTAAAGAAACACATTTTCTGATTTCAACGGAATGGGCAAGGACACGCCGGTACCTGCAGGGAATACTATACAACTGAGAAAACTTATTATTTTATTCTGATTAAGAGTAAAGTAAATTATTTCACCATTTTACTTTTAGTCTTTATACCTTTTAAGACAACTGTTTTTGTTAAACAACCATTGAGATATTTGATAAATGCCATAGAGAAAATCCCCACTTTCAGACAAGGCAAGGCTAGGTTTTGCTTTTAAAACTGTTAAAATGTAATTTCCTTGGAAATATGTCATATCTCCAAGGAAATTACATAATATGAACACAACTTTACTCAGACTAGTTTATTTAAGGTCGCCGCCGGAAAGCACATATGGGCGACAGTACATTCAAGTCTGGCCATCCTAGAGCGTCCTGCCAAGATTTTTTCGTCGTTTTTTTTCCAGCTTTATTGGTGGAGGAAAATCCTAGGTGTCCCTCCGGGCATTATTTCAGACACGAGCGGGCACCTGGGTAGAACCACCGACCTTCCGTAAGCCAGCTGGATGGCTTCCTCACATGAAAGATTTCGACCCGAGTGAGGATCTAACCCATAGCGGTGAGGGACCTGTGATCTCAAGTCAGCGACCTTAACCACTCGACCACGGAGGCCCCTAATTTTAAAGAATTTAATTCTTCTAACTTTTGTTGTCTGTGTTAAACAGTTAAGTACCACGGAAATATGAGGCACCAGTATGCCTGTATACACACTGTAGAGGCTAGCCGTAGCCGTACAGCACATTAAAAGTACTATTTTTTGTCCAATAGGATTGCAGTTTTTCAAATGAATCATGCTAGAACTTTTGGCTAGCATTATAGAGTTGTCATTGATGGACAATTTTGTATTGATATATTGAGAGACAAATATTGACGATATTTCGATATATTGACTTTAACAGTAGATACAATGAAAAACCTTTAAATGTGTGTTATAAATTGGGATCATGGTGTTATGCATGCTTATATTAGACTACAAATACTACAAACTAACAGAAAGTTTCTTTTCCTGTTATTTCTGTCACTGACATTTGAAAACAGAGTTTAAAGTTCAATTTAGCCTTGAAAACTGAAAAAAAAGTGACTTCTCTTATTAGGCAACATTGAGAGGTATATATTTACTAACAGAAATAACAAAATTTTAGCTTGTATCGATATTTGAAAGTGTGTATATTGATATTGTATCAGATGATAAATATTGATGATATATCAATATCGCGATATACAATGACAGCCCTATAGCATTATGGGCTTGTAAGGCTAGCCACTTCCTTTTTAGAAATGTGAATGTTGGACATTCATAAATATATATGTATATCCTCCCTTACAATGACAGACATTAGAGCCTTTGTACCCAATCTAATTTTTGTGCCTGTCCATGCTTAATTTTTTTATGCACTTCCACATTTTGTCAAAACTACCCATTGCAAATGATCAGTTTAGCCAATAAGATTTAGGTCAATCTTTCTTGTTGATAGAAGGCTCCAAATATGCAAATTAGCACATGTTTGGGTTACTGAAATGCTGTGCCTGCTGAGAGTACATAAACAAAAACATGGTCAAGTTCACTGCAGTAGGACTCCACCCATGGTTGTTGGATTGAGAGGCAGACACCTGAACCATTATGTCACAGCTCCCTTCTGCTGAACTTCTGTCTCACTACAATTTTCATTTTCGACATATAGGGATCACTTTTCCGTCGTCTGTCTGTCCGTCACAAAACTTGTCCGGACTACTCCTCATAAATTACTGGTGCAATTTCATCCAAACTTTACAGGAATGATCAGTACCAAGTATAGTTGTGCATATTGTCAGCATTTCCGGTTTAATGATTTTTGTCAGAGTTATGGCCCTTTAATAATTTTTATTTTTAAAGTTTGTCCGGACTACTTCTCTTATACCACTAATGCAATTTCAATGAAACTTTACAGGATTGATCTGTAGCTCAAGTCCTTGCGCATATTGCACGGGTTTTCCGGTTGAATGATTTTTGGCCGAGTTATGGCCCTTTGATAAAAAGGTGTTTTTTTCTGTGTGTTGCCATATACACAAAAACTTGTCCAGACTACTCCTCATAAACTACTGGTGAAATTTCATTCAAACTTTACAGGAATGATCAGTACCAAGTCTAGTTGTGCATATTGTCAGCATTTTCCGGTTCAATGATATTTGTCAGAGTTATGGCCCTTTAATAATTTTTATTTTTAAAGTTTATCCAGACTACTTTTCTTATACCACTTATGCAATTTCAATGAAACTTTACAGGATTGATCTGTAGCTCAAGTCCTTGCGCTTATTGCACAGGTTTTCTGGTTGAATGATTTTTGGCCGAGTTATGGTCCTTTGATAAAAAGGTGTTTTTTTCTGTGTGTTGCCAGATACACAAAAGATTGTCCAGACTACTCCTCATAAGCTACTGGTGCAATTTTATCCAAACTTTACAGGAATGATCTGTACCAAGTCTAGTTGTGCACTGTCTGTCCCAACATGAAATTGTCCATCATGAGGCGACACATGTGATCACTGATCGCTCTTGTTATTTCATTGTTTTCACCTTGTTAAAAAATGAAGATTTTAGGAGAAATGGTATAACTTACAAATCCACTATTCATTCAAGTTTTATTTACCCAAAATGAAGTGCATGTGTTTGTAATGATTGAGATAAGTTAAGTTGTCTGGTAAATGTATTTCTGTATATAATGTTAGAATCAATTTCATTAAAATTAATTACAAATTTATTACAGGATAGCTCAGCAGGATGAAGAGAAAGAACAGACAAACCACTGACAATGATAGTCAGCCACCTGTGGCTAAAGTTGCCAGGCAGGAATCAGACCCTGAAGATGACGAGGAGCTCATGGATATGTCACAAAGACCTGACTGTCCCTCAGACCCTGTACGTATTTTTGATACATTAGGTTCTGTTATGGCAGATGCAATTTGTATAATGTATACCTGTCTTTAAAGTTTTGAGTATAGTACGCTTAAATAAAGTCATGTTTTTCAAAAACAATTAAGTATGGGCTTGTTTTTGATGCTATGTGGAATGTAATTTAATTTCAGACAAATATAAGACAGTGTGTTGAATACAAGTCATCTGTAAGCATATTATTAGACAGGAGGCCAGATATTTCAGTTTTAATTGGCTTGATAAATATGCCTGATGTAGAGGAAAATCAAACATGCTTTATAGAATTAATTTGTAGAAGTGTTATTTTATTGCCAAGTATAGTCAAAAGTTTCATTTCTCTTTTAAATTGGTTCATTGTATATAATTTACCCGCCTTTTAATAGAAATTCCTTCTTCAGAAAATTAAAAAATCATACAATTGAAAAAAGAAGTCATAAATTGTGTATGCTGAGTAATGATAAACTACGTTGTTTTTAGCTCACCTGTCACAAAGTGACAGGGTGAGCTTTTGTGATCGCTTTTCGTCCGGCGTCCGTCCGTAAACTTTTGCTTCAAATGACATCTCCTCATAAACCACTAAGCCAATTTCATCCAAACTTCACAGGAATGTTCCTTTGGTGGTCACCTTTAAAAATTGTTCAAAGAATTTAATTCCATGCAGAACTCTGGTTGCCATGGCAACCGAAAGAAAAAACTATAAATATCTTCTTTTAAAGAACCCAAAGAGCTAGAGCTTAGATATTTGGCATGAAACATCTTCTAATGAGTGTCTACCAAGTTTGTTCAAATAAAAGCCCTGGGGTCAAAATTGGCCCCGCCCCAGGGGGTCATTGATTTTCCCTATATGCATATAGTAAAAACTTAAAAAATCTTCTTTTAAAGAACCCAAAGAGCTAGAGCTTAGATATTTGGCATGAAACATCTTCTAATGAGTGTCTACCAAGTTTGTTCAAATAAAAGCCCTGGGGTCAAAATTGGCCCCGCCCCAGGGGGTCATTGATTTTCCCTATATGCATAAAGTAAAAACTTAAAAAATCTTCTTTTAAAGAACCCAAAGAGCTAGAGCTAAGATATTTAGCATGAAACATCTAGTGAGTGTCTACCAAGTTTGTTCAAATAAAAGCCCTGGGGTCAAAATTGGCCCAGCACTAGGGGGAACATTGATTTTCCCTAAATGCATATAGTAAAAACTTAAAAAATCTTCTTTTAAAGAACTCAAAGAGCTAGAGCTAAGATATTTAGCATGAAACATGTTCTTGTGAGTGTCCACCAAGTTTGTTCAAATAAAAGCCCTGGGGTCAAAATTGGCCCAGCACCAGGGGGGTCATTGATTTTCCCTATATGCATATAGTAAAAACTTAAAAAATCTTCTTTTAAAGAACTCAAAGAGCTAGAGCTAAGATATTTAGCATTAAACATGTTCTAATGGGTGTCTACTAAGTTTGTTCAAATAAAAGCCCTGGGGTCAAAATTCCAGGGGGGGTCATTGATTTTCCTTATATGTGAATAGCAAAAACTTAAAAAACCTTCTTTGAAAAAATCCCAAATAGCTAGAGTTTAGATATTAAGTATGAAACATCTTCTAGTGAGTGTCTACAAAGTTTGTTCAAATTAAAGCCCTGGGGTCAAAATTGGCCCCGCCCCGGGGGTCATTGATTTCCTTTTATGTGTATAGCAAAAACTTAAAAAATCTTCTTTGAAAAAACCCAAATAGCTAGAGTTTAGATATTAAGCATGAAACATCTTCTAATAAGTGTCTACAAAGTTTGTTCAAATAAAAGCCCTTGGGTCAAAACTGGCCCCGCCCCAGGGGTGTCATTGTTTTTAACTATATGTGTATAGTAAATACTTAAAAAATCTTCTTTTAAAAAACCCAATGAATGAGCTAGAGCTTAGATGTTTAGCATGAAACATCTTCTTATGGGACCCAGGGTGTCTACCAAGTTTGTTCAAATAAAAGCCCTTGGGTTAAAATTAACTCTGCCGGTGGGGGGGGGGGGGAGAAGGTGATTGTTTTTCCTTATATGTGTATAGCAAAAACTTAACATCATGAAACATCTTCTAATGGGTGTCTTAATTCCAAGTTTGTTCAAATAAAAGCCCTGGGGTTTAAACTGGCCCCGCTTCGGGGGCCTATATACAGGTGAGCGACTTGTTATTGCTTAATATTGTGCTTGTATAATGCAGATATTAAAACATCACTGCATTTTTATCTATATTCATTTATGAAACAAGATTTAAATTCATTCCATTTATATAAATGTAACATAGTGTTGTTAAATTAAGATTTATTTGGCACCTTTATATTTTGTAGAAAGAGGCAGAGGTTGGAATTATTGAAAAAATCTCACTGAAGAATTTCATGTGTCATAATCGACTAGATATTCCATTCGGGCCAAACATCAATTTTATTGTTGGAAATAATGGAAGTAAGTAAAAGAATTTTAACCCTTACCCTTTAACCTTCTTGTAGGAACCATATTGGTTAGCCTATGTCAGATCCAGGCCAGTCTGTAATATAATCTTCTTCTAAAATGTTAATTTAAATGCAATAAGAGTAGAAAGCGAATGAAAATGACTGTATGAACCTGTATTATAATGTGCTTTTGCATTTTTTAACTCCAAGTTGCTTGTATAGGTTGAAAGTTGATTATTTATTTCTCTTGTTTGTTATTTATTATTGAGGCGATAAAGATTTGTCAACTCAACTCATTTATTCAGGATATAGGCCACTTGCTCTTGACACAAATGTACAATACAAAAAACAACAATTAATTTCATTTTTAATTTTCATGACAAGTTCATGGCTATATTTATTCTATGTACTTATATATCAGGTGGTAAAAGTGCTGTCATCACTGCCCTGGTTGTTGGACTTGGTGGCAAGGCTGCTGTTACAAACAGAGGCTCAAAACTGAAAAGTTTTGTAAAAGATGGAAAACAGTGAGTGTCATATTTTTTATCAAAGTTGAAACAAGTGCGTGACTGATTGTTTTAAAATAAGGGATATAATCAGGGAAATGGTTTAATCTGTATGTTGATATTGATTAATATTTCTTTCACGTAATTTAAATGCTGAGAAAGGTAACATCTGTTTTGAACGAGTAACATCTAAAGAAACAAGATTGTTTGAATGACTGAAATAATGCACAGAGTGGTACCTGTCGCCTCCCTTCACCAGTACAGTAGGAAAGTCGTCATATAACCTTTTACAGTATTTGTGTTACTTTTAATCATAACAGAAAAAAGGTGACGAAATATGTTTAAAAAAACAAGTCCAAGCTTTTGATAAATTTATAGTCTACAGTATGAATCATATATCATCTTTTCAGAGTTGCCGAGGTGGAGATCAGGTTGCGTAATAGAGGAGTGGATGCTTTCCGTCCTGATTTGTATGGAAACACCATCAGTGTTCATAGAAAGTTCAATGCTGATGGGAGCACCCAATATAAACTTGCTTCCGAGAATGGTAATATGTTGATAATATCTTTAGAAAAATCATCATAATATCTTTTGCAAATTCATGGATAATATTTTTCAAGTTTATCACCCAAACCAGAGAATATTCATGTGAATCTTCACACACAACTTTTGGGCATAATTGTTGGTCACTGACATAGATCCATATCTCTAGTATATATATATATATATATATATATATATATACACAGTCGACTCCGGTTATAATGAACTCAATGGGACATTAAAATATCGTTAATTACATCCAAAGTTTGCTAAAAAGCGAAGTTACAGTAGCAACAACTTGCTGACTTGTTTGGATGGGGAAATTTGCCGTAAAAAAGTCATACTTTTCACTGGTTACCTGTGTAACCGGTATTATACTGCAGCAGTTATTTAATGCGGGGCATTTTATTGAACAATATATTATGTACATGGTACATGTATTTATACATGTTGTACTTGTCTATAAAGTATTCTTTTGCTTTTTGTTTATTATCGTTTGGTTAATATTGCAAACAAAACAGTTTGTTATTTGGTAATTATCGGGTATTTGCAGCAATCAACTGAGGGTGCTAAATACATTTTCTCCGTAACAAGTAGGAAATAATGTTGTGAGAACATTTTATAAAGATCTTTATTCCCTGAAGCTATAATTTATCTGTGCATTCATTCGATTGTATAATTATCAGACAGCGTTATTCATGTACTGATCCTAGTCGAGCGCGTCACGATATTTCAATTATAACAGTTTGTTATAACCGAGGAAATTTACATGTTTTCCGTCATTTGGGACTTGAAGAAATGGTTCGTTATAGGCAAAAATTCATTATAAGCGAGTACATATTAAGCGATGTTATTTAATATGAAATAAAGAAGGAATCTGTCGGGGATGTCAGATTTAGTTCGCTATTAACGATAATTCATTATAAGCCAGTTCGTTACAAGTGGAGTTGACTGTAATTTTGTTTTTCTTACTGAATTATATTTTTATGTAAAGAAAATTGCAAGGAGCGTCTAAGGCTGAGTGGTTAAGTTTGTTGACTTCTAACTACTTGCCTCTCAGTGCTGTGGGTTCAAATCTCGCCAGGGACTTTGAATTCTTTCATGTGAGGAAGCTATTCAGTTAGCTTATGAAACAAACGTCTGCGGTTCTACTCAGGTACCAGTTCATGCCTAAAATAATGCATGGACTAGCACCTGAGGTCTTCCTCTACCAATAAAGCTGGAAAATCATCATATGATCTTTACTGTGTTTGTGTGATGTTAAACCCAACCAAAATAAAAAAATTTTAATAATTGTAGGTAAAGTGATATCAACGAAGAAGGATGATCTGTCCAGGATACTGGATCAGTTTAACATACAAGTAGATAATCCAGTGGCAGTGTTAAATCAGGATACATCCAGAAACTTCCTCAATAGTAAAAGTCCTCAAGATAAATATAAGGTATGACTTAGCATTTCTTGAGGTGCTTGTGAATCAAAGTTAAGCAGCTAAGCATATGAAATAAATTCAGTTTAGAAACCATGTATGTGTATATTTATCTAAAAGCCTATGAAAAGATTATTTACACTCAACATGTATTTTAATAAGAGGACTACCATGAGCTAACACAGCTCTTGGTCCAAATCCTTTCCATTTGAATGGATAAATTATGTACATGTATATATCTTGAGTAAAAAAAAAATGTTTTAACCAAAGATAATTTTGATTTAGAACCATATTCTACAAAATGAATGCTTTTATATACAACCTTTATATACTGTGAAAGTGATTAAAGCCAAAACATTTACCTTTACAACATTTTGGGTAACTTACAATAATATTTGGAAAAATAGTAAAGGATACACTTACAATGTATTTTCGTGATTGCACATCTTTCCTATTTGTAGCGTTTCTCAGACATAATGTGAAGCGCTGATGATAATTTTTTGTTTATTAGTCCCCTACCGGTTTACCGGAGGGGACTTTAGGTTTACCCTCCGTCCGTCTGTCTGTCTGTCTGTCCGTCTGTCCGTCCGTCAGTCCGTCCGTCCACAAAACTGGATCCCGCGATAACGCAAAAAGTACTGAAAATATTTTTATGAAACTTGATATATGGATAGATGGCAGTATGGAGATTATGCACGTCTTTTTCTTTTCTTCCTATGTTGAAAATTCTGGTTGCTATGGCAACAAATAGACTGAAAATATGGCAAATTTTACACATAACCTGGATCCCGCGATAACGCAAAAAGTACTGAAAATATTTTTATGAAACTTGATATATGGATAGATGGCAGTATGGAGATTATGCACATTTTTTTCTTTTCTTCCTATGTTGAAAATTCTGGTTGCTATGGCAACAAATAGACTGAAAATATGGCAAATTTTACACATAACCTGGATCCAGTGATAACACAAAAAGTACTGAAAATATGTTTATGAAACTTGACATATGGGTAGATGGCAGTATGGAAATTATGCACATCCTTTTCTTATCTTCCTATGTTGAAAATTCTGGTTGCTATGGTAACAAATAGACTGAATTTCAAGATTTCGGATTCTAGTTTTTAAGTTTTTTCACTATAAGTTCTTTATTTCTAAAGGTATTTTCTTCAAACTTTAAATATAAGTTGCTTGTCATCAACCACATCATATGTGACAAGGTTTACAACTCTAGCACAAAATTTATCAGAATTATCTCCCTTGAACTTAAAATTTTCAGGAAAAAAAACCTTGTTTTTTTTTAATAACTTCTTTTTTTGAATGTATCTACTTCAAACTTCATATAAATGTTTCTTATTATCACTCAACATTTGTGAGTGTTCAATGCTCTAGCAAGACTATTTCCAGAATTATGCCCCTTTTGAACTTAGACTTTTTTTTTGAGAAATTGGTAATTTTTACTCCAACTTCTTCAATCATGATAGGATTTTAAAAATGTTATATTTTGATAACAGGGATGTTTAAAAAATAACTTTAGAGTGTCCTTCAGTCTGTCTGTCTGTACATAAAAACTGTTTCCTGTGATTACTTTTAAATAACTTTTTTAACAAATTTACTTAAAATAGGAACATAAGTGAATGGCCAATGGCCCTTCAGAATGTTGCTTGGGCTCTTACCGGTAGGGGACTTATGGATTGCTTGCAATACTATGATAATTGCTTGTTTTTTCAGTTTTTTCTGAAGGCAACACAACTAGAGCAGATAAAGGAGGACTATAATACTGCCTCCGATCGTAAAGAATTAACTAAAGAGATTATTGCTAAAAAAATGGAAGTAAGATTCTTTATTGCTAAATTCAGTATGTTATTTATGCTGACACTACTTGACTACATTTTGTGTTTTGGTGGTAATTTTTTTTTCTTCTTTACTTTCAATATTCCTACGGAAATTTATATTAAGGCTGAAATGATATCTTCAATTTCTGATATGATGCTTATTGCAATACAAGGTTCATGATAGAATATTTATTATGGAAAATATCAGCAAAAATAAAACAACAGAGTGACTGATACTAACTTTATTATACTTTGTCACTTTCCAGGTTACATACCTTAAATCTGTTACTGATAATAACAGATAAATGCTCACTGAAAACTAGAAAATACATGTATGTTTGACAGAAATGTACACTTATGGAAAGTTCTGATAATAAAATGTTGTTTGACAATTGATTCCCTTCACTGTTGTGGGTTCAAATCCCACAAGAGGCTTGGATTCTTTCATGTGAGGAAGCTATCCAGCAAGCTAATGGAAAGTCAGTGATTCTACTAAGGTGCATATTTGTCCCTGAAATAATGCAGGAAGAAAGAGGCACCTTAGGTCTTCCTCCACCAATAAAGCTGGAAAGTCACCACATTACCTATACAGTATTGATTCAACATAAAACCTAAACATAAAAAAAAACCAGAACATTTATGAATTATATGTGTATTTCATATGTTCAGACATTGCCAAAGCTTGAGAAAGAAGTACTGGAATGTGAACAGAGATACAAATCACTGACGGCTATCAAAGAATTGGAGGTTAAGACTAAAAAGTTGAGGGAGGAAATGGCCTGGTCATTTGTTATAGAAAAAGAAAAGGTAAACATACTAATTATGTTTTCTTCTATTGAATTTAATGGTTTTACAAAAAACTTTGCATGGTGATAACAAAGATATGAGAGGAACTGCAATGGCAAAGAACCATAACTCTCTACCCTGCTTCTTTTTATAAATTATCTCCCTTACGTGAATACTGTTGTTCTGGTATAGCTTCTAAACTGTGAATAATATTTCAATGAATCTTCAAACATTTATAAAGACTAGTGAGAGGAGGTGCAGTGTTGAAGAACCATTACTCTACATGACTTAGTTTTTGTGTCGCCTTGAAAAGGTGACATATAGGGGTTACTTTTGTCGGCGGTGTCGGCGGCGGCGGCGTCTGTGTCGTTGTCGGCGTCCCCTAAAGCTTGTCCGGAGCATAACTCAGTCACTATAAGTCTGATTGACTTCAAACTTGGTATGCATGCTTCTTTCAATAACCCGAAGTGCAGTGCACAAGGACCGGTACTCTGCAGTTCTTATTTTTGGAGTTATTGCCCTTTGTTAATTTTTATACTTTAATTTTGTCCGGGCCATTTCTCTTCAACTAAAAAAGCTATGGACTTGAAACTTCATAGGATGATAGATCTCATTAAGAAGAAATGCAGTGCACAAGAACCAGTACTCTGCACTTCCTAATTTTTGAGTTATTGCCCTTTGTTTATTTTCATACTTTATTTTTGTCCGGGCCATTTCTCCTAATGTATAAAAGCCATGGACTTGAAACTTCATAGGATGATATGTCTCATTAAGAAGAAGTGCAGTGCACAAGAACTGGTACTCTGCATTTTTTATTTTTTGAGTTATTGCCCTTTGTTTATTTTCATACTTTAAATTTGTCCGGGCCATTTCTCCTTAAGTATAAAAGCTATGGACTTGAAACTTCATAGGATGATAGATCTCATTATTAAGAAGTGCAGTGCACAAGAATCTGTACTCTGCATTTCTTAATTTTTGAGTTATGGCCCTTTGTTAATTTTCATACTTAATTTTTGTCCAGGCCATTTCTCCGAAAGTATAAAAGTTATGGACTTGAAACTTCATAGGATGATAGATCTCATTAAAAAGAAGTGCAGTGCATAAGAACTGATACTCTGCATTTCTTATTTTTGAGTTATTGCCCTTTGTTGATTTTCTTACTTTATTTTTGTCCTGGTCATTTCTCCTCAAGTATGAAAGCTATGGACTTGAAACATCATAGAATTTGATAAGAAGTGCAATGTACAGAAACTGCTGCTCTGCACGTATTATTTTTTTAGTTATTGCCCTTTGTTATTTTTCATATTTCATTTTTGTCCTGGCCATTTCCCCTAAACTACATTGTTCACAAGGCGACACATCCGACTCGCGGAGTTCTAGTTGTATTATCACCCTTAACCTTTTCCCTTATATAAGCGTGTTTCGACGGCTTTTTGCCCCCCCCCCCTTTTTGAGGCCTCAAACAGTGAAAAAATGCCCTATTTAGGCCCCAAACACTGTTTTTCGTTTGAGAAATGTTGTTAAAAAAATTGACCATTTTTTCGGCGCCATCCCCCATCCAAATATTACATCAGGGGGTTGCCAGAAGGGGATGTGCCCCCTTCTGTTTGGGGGGTTTGAAGGGGGGCGGAGTCCCCCTCATCGCCAAGAAAATTTTGGACTTGTGAGAGGCTTTAAATGACCCCAGGTCGATCATAAGATAACGTGTAACCAACGCTGAAAAGCCTTTGACTCTATCTCAATCCCTTGAGAAGTTGCAGCACTTTGAAATAAATTTTGATGGAAAAAATCGAGGCAAAAAAGTGATTTTTGGCAATTTTGAGATGTCCCCTCGTTGCCATGGTAACAGGAAATTTAAGACTGAGCATGTCGTTACAAAGGCAATGGTCCAGTCAACATTTGTGCCAAGTTTGATTAGTATTGTAGCATTTTTCATAGTTTCATAGCAGTTTGAACTTGTGAGAGGAGGCTTTTCAGTGAAAATGGCCATTTTTCACAATATGCTCATGGGGGAAAGGGTTAACTAAAAAAATTATAAATGTTACAAAACAATGATTTTTCACCAAAATTAGGTAAAAGACCAAATGTTAACATGGAAAAACTAGATTTTGGGTGGTTCCAAGGTTTTTCATCATTTTTTGTTAACCTTTTCCCTTATATAAGCGTGTTTCGACGGCTTTTTGCCCCCCCCCCTTTTTGAGGCCTCAAACAGTGAAAAAATGCCCTATTTAGGCCCCAAACACTGTTTTTCGTTTGAGAAATGTTGTTAAAAAAATTGACCATTTTTTCGGCGCCATCCCCCATCCAAATATTACATCAGGGGGTTGCCAGAAGGGGATGTGCCCCCTTCTGTTTGGGGGGTTTGAAGGGGGGCGGAGTCCCCCTCATCGCCAAGAAAATTTTGGACTTGTGAGAGGCTTTAAATGACCCCAGGTCGATCATAAGATAACGTGTAACCAACGCTGAAAAGCCTTTGACTCTATCTCAATCCTTGAGAAGTTGCAGCACTTTGAAATAAATTTTGATGGAAAAAATCGAGGCAAAAAAGTGATTTTTGGCAATTTTGAGATGTCCCCTCGTTGCCATGGTAACAGGAAATTTAAGACTGAGCATGTCGTTACAAAGGCAATGGTCCAGTCAACATTTGTGCCAAGTTTGATTAGTATTGTAGCATTTTTCATAGTTTCATAGCAGTTTGAACTTGTGAGAGGAGGCTTTTCAGTGAAAATGGCCATTTTTCACAATATGCTCATGGGGGAAAGGGTTAACTAAAAAAATTATAAATGTTACAAAACAATGATTTTTCACCAAAATTAGGTAAAAGACCAAATGTTAACATGGAAAAACTAGATTTTGGGTGGTTCCAAGGTTTTTCATCATTTTTTGTTAACCTTTTTCCCTTATATAAGCGTGTTTCGACGGCTTTTTGCCCCCCCCCCCTTTTTGAGGCCTCAAACAGTGAAAAAATGCCCTATTTAGGCCCCAAACACTGTTTTTTCGTTTGAGAAATGTTGTTAAAAAAATTGACCATTTTTTCGGCGCCATCCCCCATCCAAATATTACATCAGGGGGTTGCCAGAAGGGGGATGTGCCCCCTTCTGTTTGGGGGTTTGAAGGGGGGCGGTAGTCCCCCACATCGCCAAGAAAATTTTGGACTTGTGAGAGGCTTTAAATGACCCCAGGTCGATCATAACATAACGTGTAACAAACGCTGAAAAGCCTTTGACTCTATCTCATTGAGAAGTTGCAGCACTTTGAAATAAATTTTGATGGAAAAAATCGAGGCAAAAAAGTGATTTTTGGCAATTTTGAGATGTCCCCTCGTTGCCATGGTAACAGGAAATTTAAGACTGAGCATGTCGTTACAAAGGCAATGGTCCAGTCAACATTTGTGCCAAGTTTGATTAGTATTGTAGCATTTTTCATAGTTTCATAGCAGTTTGAACTTGTGAGAGGAGGCTTTTCAGTGAAAATGGCCATTTTTCACAATATGCTCATGGGGGAAAGGGTTAACTAAAAAAATTATAAATGTTACAAAACAATGATTTTTCACCAAAATTAGGTAAAAGACCAAATGTTAACATGGAAAAACTAGATTTTGGGTGGTTCCAAGGTTTTTTCATCATTTTTTGTTAACCTTTTCCCTTATATTAAGCGTGTTTCGACGGCTTTTTGACCCCCCCCCCTTTTTGAGGCCTCAAACAGTGAAAAAATGCCCTATTTAGGCCCCAAACACTGTTTTTCGTTTGAGAAATGTTGTTAAAAAAATTGACCATTTTTTCGGCGCCATCCCCCATCCAAATATTACATCAGGGGGTTGCCAGAAGGGGGATGTGCCCCCTTCTGTTTGGGGGGTTTGAAGGGGGGGCGGAGTCCCCCTCATCGCCAAGAAAATTTTGGACTTGTGAGAGGCTTTAAATGACCCCAGGTCGATCATAAGATAACGTGTAACCAACGCTGAAAAGCCTTTGACTCTATCTCAATCCCTTGAGAAGTTGCAGCACTTTGAAATAAATTTTGATGGAAAAAATCGAGGCAAAAAAGTGATTTTTGGCAATTTTGAGATGTCCCCTCGTTGCCATGGTAACAGGAAATTTAAGACTGAGCATGTCGTTACAAAGGCAATGGTCCAGTCAACATTTGTGCCAAGTTTGATTAGTATTGTAGCATTTTTCATAGTTTCATAGCAGTTTGAACTTGTGAGAGGAGGCTTTTCAGTGAAAATGGCCATTTTTCACAATATGCTCATGGGGGAAAGGGTTAATAATATTTAATAATGCTTGTCTTGAGAATAATTTGAGAAGTATTAAAGGAAATGTATTAAGTAAGATGACTTATATTTGGCTTTTGTCCAAACAGTCATTTTCACGGAAGGGCTTTTGTCTGCCTTTTAATTTTCTGATGAGAGGGCTTTTTTCCTACACTCATAAATAACATATTATTTTCCTCTTTAAAAGGGTATTACACCAGTTGAAAAAGAATACAGGCATGAGGAAGCAAGATTACCAAGGTTTAAAGCAAAGGCAGATGAAGCTAAGGTAATTTTGTATTTTCCATTGGAAATTAGTAATGGCACTTTTACTTATTAGAAATTTAGAACTGTATGTTAGTTTTTAAGGGGAATCATTATAAACATGGCACATAAGGATGAGACTAGACATAAGAGCTGCATGTGGCATATTCCTGTCACTATTCCTGATCATATTTATTGATGAGCTTTAACCAATAAGACTTGCACCTATAAGTCTCTTAAACCTCTATCATGCTTGATTTATGGTCTGTGTCCTCTTGTAAAATTTGAACAGTTTAGAAGAGGAATATCTGTGTCCAGATACTAACACTGTCAGGGACCATCAACTGGACACTTTTTGAACAATTTTCCATACAGATTACACAATTTTAAAGCTAGATATACAGTAAAGCTAGGCTCTTCTGAAGAACTTTTTTGTTAATTTCTGGTTTTGTTGACACTTGTATTTGAGGTCTGTAAAAATTTGTATTTTGAACAATTTACAATATTCCAGCAGCCTATGATAAAATTTTGAGTGTTCTATTGTTTACTCTGCTGCAAATGATTATAGTTAGAGAAAGAGGTCAAGTTTTCCACACTGTACACTTTCTGTTCTTGTAATAGATATAAAACTATTAATATTTCAGACAGTTAAAACCAATTTAATTAATTGATAATAGAAGAAACACACACTTTTTGTCTATAAAAAAGCGAATGATTGATCAACAATGGTTACAACCACTGAACAAATATAACAACTAACTAAAGTGTTTAAGGGGCCGTCAGGTTTGATGGTTGTTCGGATTTGATGGTGCCCAACCATTTTGATGTGCAGACTGGCTTTGGCTATATACTGTTTGTGTTGGTCTGTCAATTTGTTGCTATCAGTTAGCGGGTTTAAATAATTATTGTTAATATTACACAGAGTAGCCTCGACAAAATGAATCAGCAGATGCAAGAACTTACAGCTCGATTAAATGAATCTGGAGAAGAGGTGAAACAACTGCAGCCAGCTCATCATAAAGCTAGAAATGCTCTCAATGAACAGAAAAAACTCACCAGAAATGCACAAGTATGTACTATACTAAATGTTTATAGAAGTTTTAAACCTGATAAGAACAATTGGTTAAACACATGTGAAATGCTTGCGTGTATTATACTATACGTGAATAGAAGTTAATTTCTGGCTTTTTGAACAAGTTATAGATTTGTAAATATTCACTTGCGTTTAAATGCCAAAGACAATCTTGAAAAATTGATTGACATTAGCCTCTTTTGGACTGTGTTAGACTCTGTTCTGTACATTGGCTTTCAGAATGTTGTTTACAAACAAATAAATAAAAGGTTGTTTTTTATATGAAGACAAATAAATGAATAATCTAGCAATGTTCATTATGTAAAATACACAATCAATGTTCTTTGTATATCATTTGATGAGGTAAAAACTTGTCATATCGTCCTGTATTTTGGTGCTATTTTCCTAGGATAGAGCACAATATTGAACTTTTAAGGAGATTATCTTTCCATTCTTGTTGAGAATGCATGCCTTTTCCCAGTGTTAGCATGGGTCACATTTCCAATGGTAAATATGCCTATTTTTCCCAATCTTAAAAAAAATCCCTATCAGACTGAAATTCTCAGTATCAAAACTGACAAATTTGCTGGAGTTTGTTCCAGTATGGTATTTTGCTGTGAATGATATTTGCATTGGTTGGAATAAACATTTTTGTACAATTCAGAATACTAAAAGAGGATGAAGTTTCAAAAGGTACCAAATATTTTTCAAAATTTAGCAATATAACAAGGCAAAATTTCTCAAACTTGGCAAGGTACTTTTTCCCAAAATGGCTAGGAAAGGGCCTGGAATGAGTACCAATTACTGTATGCGTAGAAATATTCGCGGGCTTCAAATTTTCGCGATCTTCGCGGTGACATACGATCCGCGAATTCATGTTCAGCGCGAATATTTCTACACCAATAATTTCTTAATAGTCATATTTTCGCGCATCTAAAGAACAATGTATATCAGTGTGTTCACGGCTGCCATAAGTCTGGTATCCGCGGCGCTTTCAAAGAGTGATTTTAGTTGTTTAAACTGTACATGTAACATTCAGCTCTGTATATAAATCAGTTTGCTAGTGAATTGTATTAACTGATATGATTATCGGATTCTTGAATAAGTATATACATGTTTAAAAAATACCATTGCATCACGTTATTTATTTCATGGTCTGAGTCATAAACTTCTTGACATCTGATCAGATTATATTTTGTTTTCTAAACATACAATACAAATAACTCAAACATTAACTATTCTCCCTGATGAAAACATTGAAAACAAAACACAATTACTCAGTCCACATTTTATCAAAATTGGTGAAAAGATTATGGTCTCATTCAGTGCTGTTTAAAACAATCACGCACGTTAACGGGCATTCTTTTGTTTGCCATAATCTTTCCACTAGACAAATTGAATGTCTTTGTTCTGTACAACAGCGTATTGTTTGACACCAGGTGTTGAAAATAACTGTGAAGTCCCTCAATGATTACAATAAAAAGTATGTAAAATGAAAGAAGGCTGCTTGCAAAAACAACAGCCTTATCGTGTTAGAGTAATATCCCTTATTTTTTAACCTGATGGGTGTACGCGAATTTATGATTTTCGGCAGTCCCCTCCGCGAATTCAAAATAGCGCGAATATTTGTATACACCCCAAAAATGGACCTTTCCGCGAAAATTTGCTTCCGCGAATTTAAATACACATACAGTATCTTAATAGAGGATCTTGAATTTATTATTGATTTAAAAAAGAATTTTAAAGCATTGTGTAAATCCTAGATAGAACTTACTAAGAGAATATGTTTGGAAACTTTTTGTGTTTGAATTTTAGATGGAGGTTAAAAGATTGGAGTCAGCTATCCACACCAGGACAAAGGAGAAGAAGTCTATAGAAGAAAGAATTGCAGACATACAGATGAGGTACAATATTAATATTTTATGAGGGTTAATAAGTTGTTTTCACCCCTCTGTATGTCAGATATGCAGAGTGAATGAAAGTAGGACACTTTAAACATTACTACTTCACTCTCTTTGACTTTCATATGAATATGAAAGTATTCTATTTATTTTTCAAAATTACAGTTTAAGCTCAAACGTCTAAAAAAAAAAAAAGACGAAAAACCGGATATATGTTCCACTGATTACTTTAAGGTATGAGCCCCATAATGGGCACTATAAGGAACTATAAAATTGACAACATAGGTCAGTTATATACCTTAAAAGACACAAGAATGCAAAATTTAAACAAAGTTTACCGTATGGTTTTCGAGTTATGGAGGTTTTTCTGAAGTTAAACTTGGCTATTAGAAGGGCTCTTTTTCAGAAATGAGAAACTCTAAATATTCTATCTTATAATCATTATGAAAAAAATGTTTTCCTATAGAACATTTTAAGAAACAAATAATAGCATTCAGCTAACAAATGACCCAGCAAAATTATTGTTTCGACTCAAAATGTTTGAAATATGTATATAAATGTTACCCTACCCCACCCATTTTAAGTAGTTTTTTGATCATTTTTCTACTTGGAGGGCCTCATTCAAATTATCCCTAAAATTTACTCAAATCAGGGGCTGTTTTCAAAGTTTGCATAAATTTTCTTAAAAGTATATTGGTTGCACTTGTCAAATATAAAAAACTTTTACCGTCTAGTTTTTATTTTATTAGACTTTGAAAATATCAGGTACCATATTTGATAATAAATTTGGCACAATTTAGCCAATAAATACCAATAATAATTTCATAATTAAAATTTTAAACTTTTTTCATCTCAAAAGTGATTTGAGAGACACAAATAATGTTCAAAGAAAAAAAATAGAAATAAAAAAAAGTTGCCTCTTCTGGGGCTCGAACCCACGCCCCTCAGTTACAATGCAGTTGACAGTAGTTCTAGCCTATTTGAATACTCTTCAAAGTGGAGATAATGCATTAGGTGGATCATACCTTAAGTGTAAAAAGTTTGTTTCCAAAAATTTTAGTTTTTGAATATGAACATTGACCTGGTAATTGTAGTATTCCCAACTAGTTTACAAGTAGAAGAAAACGAGATTGATGCTGATAGTATATGAATATTTTGTTTTTCTAGTGGTTTCTAACCATAAAAAGGGCACTGCACATGTTAATTAATGTTTGCATTCTTAACAAATATAGACTCAGATATAATAAGAAGTTTTGGAAAACCAGCTTGGAAGTTATGTTTTCTTATATTATAAAAATATGAAATTAAACACGCTATTTAAAAATTCTTATTATAGTTCCAATGAAAAGAGTCATTCCATAAAATAATGCATTTTATTCATATTTCATTCACAAGGTACTTTAATTCTCAAAGAAATTACAGTATTTTGAAATAAAATCTTTAATGTTGGTTATTTTACGTATGTGAACAGTTCACGTGATGACTATGAAAATGAAAGAAGGGCACGGATGAAGAAGATTGAAACTCTAGAAGGGAAAGTTGCCAGTTTACAGGCTCAGGAAACCACAACAGATCATCAGCTTGACCAGTTTAGAAATGCAATACAGAAATACAAGAATGATAGGTTTAAGTTAGGGTAAGTATAGAGATATCTTTTAGCCTGAATTAAAACTACACTTAACGAAACTTATAAGTACTCCGACCAATTTTTTATTATATTGTGTTAGAATTACTATAACTAGTCTAAGTCGATACTGTATAAACTTTAATCATAGTATCATCATTTTATAATAGTAAATGCATTTTACAATAACTCAAACTTAACAGAAAATCATTAACTGTGATCACCATTGTAAAAAAAATCAAATACCTTCAAGTTTAGTCCATTTAGTCAATACCTCGTATGTCCTCCGTTTGCTCTGATTACAGCTAGGCATCGTGCGCGCATAGACATTATGTAATTTCGGAAATAACCTACCGGAATGTTCTCCTACTCTTGAACAAGTCTGTTTTGTAGCTCCTGTTGGGTTGTGGGTGCATTTTGACCTCTGTATACACGCCGACCCAGCTCATCCCAAATGTTCTCTATAGGATTGAGGTCGGGCGACTTTGAAGGTCATGGAAGAACGTTTATTCTCTGTTGTTGTAAGAGTGTTCGTGTGGTCTGTGCAGTATGACACGTAGCACCGTCATGCATGAGAATCATTCCCCTATTCTGTTGAATGATGGGAATTGCAACGGGGCACAGAATTTCAACCTGATAACGGACTGCATTTAAATTTCCACGAACTACAACGAGTGGCGTTTTCTGGTGCAGTGAAATGCCAGCCCATATCATCACAGACCCGCCACGGAACTGATCTTGTTCTACCACGCACGGATCTGTGTATCTTTCTCCACGTCGGCGATAAACACGTGCCCGGCCGTCGTTACCCTGAATATTAAAACGGGACTCGTCCGTTAACAAGACTTGCGCCCAGTCAGCACGCGTGAATCGTAAATGTGCTCTTGCCCAACGTACACGTGCAAGTCGATGGTTTCTGCGAAGTACTATACCACGGAATGGTCTTCTTGCACGTAGTCCTGCAGATCTGAGACGATTTCGAACGGTAGTGTCACTAATTGGTCGTCCGTGGGTGCCGACTGTCGCCCTTGATGTTTCGACCGATGTGCACCTCCGTTGACGGAGATGTGTTAAAACAATGAATCTATCTTGAGCACGTGTTGTTGCTCTACCACGTGGCCGTCTCGGGAGATTGGCGATACTTCCGGTTCGTCTGTATTTAGCTAGGAGCTTAGTAATGCTTCTCTTCTGTACATGCATTGCACGGGCTGCCAAGATAAAATAAATGATATCAATGTCAAGAAATTCGATACACAACAAACCAGCAAAAGTATATTTTAAAAAAAACGCAATAAATAAACAAAATTGCGTGTTTAAAATTCATACCTCTGCAGTCGATGCGCCGCCCTGTAATAGCCCAATGGCAATTCCTCTTTGTTGCAGCGACATTCGGGTCATTTTATGTTTTTATGCACATCAATAAACTAACAATCTGCATCAAAATACACAATGTGGGCATCTTGCACGAAATGCACGTGCCCATTTTCAGGTTTTTGCATGTGACCGCCATATTGTGTTTCGGATGATTGATTTTATTTTAAAATCATTCATGCAGTCGGAAAGTAGAGTCAGTACACATTTTCAACATTGATTTGGTATATATTTTGAAAACCGGAGTTTTCCTGCAAGTTTGAAATCGGAGTACTTATAAGTTTCGTTAAGTGTATATCTTTATAGGAGCCAAAGTGATTTTTTTTAGGTCAATAAAGCTAAATATGAGAAATGAGAAAAAACATGGGGTTGGTTGAGTATTGATCTTAATGAAAATCAAAAGTTGGATGCATTCTGACTTGGCTCTGTACTGTTGGCTTTTAGATTTTTCATTTTGATATTCCTAAAGAAAATGATCATGTTGTGAAATTAGAAGTTGGACAAGTCTGTTAAAGAAATTCAGCAGGTAAAGGGCTAATACAAAGAATAAGTTTTAATCAATGGATATTGAAATGCTTATCTAACTTAAAATTGTTACTGAAATTTTCAGAAACACCTGTTGAATTTGTTAGGTGTATTTTTCTATTCTTCCCCCAATAAATAATTACTTTGAAACATGTCATCTTACATTGTGCAGTAATTCAAAGGTTATTTTATTGTTAATTTTCAGACAAGATCATCAAGTCAGTCAGACTCAGATAGATAAACATCAAAGGAATCTCCAGTCATTGAAAGCCTCTCAGGGAAACAGACTTAAACGGTTTGGACCATTTATGCCTCAACTTATACAAACTGTAGATGAATATGCTCGCCTCGGAAGGTTCCACAAGAAACCTATAGGTCCATTAGGTAAGGACGCTGTTGTTATATTGTTGTGCAGGTATGTCACGAGGCCTCAGTATACATGTACAAGTGTGACTGTATCATATGACAGTAGTGCCAGAATGCGTTCTATTTTTAGCTCGACTATTCGATAAGAATAAGTAGAGCTATTGCAGTCACCCGAGCGTCGGCGTCGGCGTAACCACTTATGTTAAAGTTTTTGTAATAGTTCAAATATTTTCAAAGTCCATAGACATATGGCTTTGAAACTTTGCACACTTGTTCACCATCATGACCCCAACCTGTAGACAGGAGGAGGTAACTCTATCAAGCATTTTGACAGAATTATGCCCCTTTTTCGACTTAGAATTTACGTTAAAGTTTTTGTAATAGTTCAAATATTTTCAAAGTCCATTGACATATGGCTTTGAAACTTTCCACACTTATTCACCATCATGACCCCAACCTGTAGACAGGAGGAGGTAACTCTATCAAGCATTTTGACAGAATTATGCCCCTTTTTCGACTTAGAATTTACGTTAAAGTTTTTGTAAAAGTTCAAATATTTTCAAAGTCCATTGACATATGGCTTTGAAACTTTGCACACTTGTTCACCATCATGACCCCAACCTGTAAACAGGAGGAGGTAACTCTATCAAGCATTTTGACAGAATTATGCCCCTTTTTCGACTTAGAATTTACGTTAAAGTTTTTGTAATAGTTCAAATATTTTCAAAGTCCATTGACATATGGCTTTGAAACTTTGCACACTTGTTCACCATCATGACCCCAACCTGTAAACAGGAGGAGGTAACTCTATCAAGCATTTTTTTTACTATCAAGCACTAAGAATAGTCGAGCGTTGCTGTCCTACCGACAGCTCTTGTTTAATGGTCACATACATGTACATTTATATGGCTATTTTGTAAAATATTTTGGTAATTTTTGTGATTGCATGAAATAAATCAGTAATAACCTCTTTTTCTGTGAGTTGTCTGTCCATAAGGCTCAATAAGAAGAGTATCAGATTTGTAATACAGGAGTAGCTGGTTCCATTCTCGGGCGAGGTGCATTTTCTCTGTGATGATTTCAAGGACTGAGTCTAGTGGTCATTTGTCTCTCAACATTGATTCAGAAATCATGTGGAATTAGTAATCAGGTTTTGTTAAGAAATTTGTAATAACTGGTTAGTAATACAGGATAGCCTGTGGACCCGACGGCCAAGAAATGATTTAAGTTCTGTTTATAGGTTTTAGTTATACAAGGAACATTGAATTTAATCATACATACGTGTATATTATTTCAGGTGCATGTTTTACTCTTGCTGATCAGAAATGGGCATTAGCTGTTGAATGTTGTCTGAAAGGTTTGATGAACTCATTCTGTTGTCATGACTACCATGATGAGAAACTACTGGAACAAATCATCTCTAACGTTTGTCCACAATATAAACCTACCATCATTGTCAGTAAATTTAAGGTAAATATATTCTATGTCTATGTAAGCTGATAAATAAAAGAGGTAAATCTTGATAAATATTAAAATCTTGGTAGGAAATTTTAGTAAGTGAAGTAATTGTAAATTTTAAGACTGCAGTATTTAACTAAACAGATATATCTGCATGGACAATGTTTATGTTCTCTTTTATTTGTTGAAAATACTATTAAAAATTAAAGTGTTACAAGTACAATTCTTAAAAAGGGAATATTAGAATGACTTACATCATGGTATTGAAACAGTCCAGTTAAATCATTTATGTAACTTATTTGATCTGTTTGTATTTTTTCTCATAATTTGTGTTTTGCTAATATTTTTCAGGACAGGGTCTATGATGTCTCAGAGAAGGTAGGTATTCTTCAGATATATTATACAAATTATTTGCTTATCAGGGGCATTAGAATCCTGCTGGTGGCTTTACATTCTTTCATGTGTTTAAGAAATCATTTATTATTAAGAAGATGTCATAATATGCCGTTTTACTGCAAAGTGCTTTAAGTAGTTGATTGTGAATAACTCTTTAAGGCAGCTGGTTCAAATCCTGCTTTGTTCTTTGAAGAATTTATCCAACTAAAGCACAATAGGGCAGTGATTTTACTTCAATGCCAGCTGTAATTGGACGAAGGGGCACCTACGGGTCTTCATATGAACCTAGTTTTTTTATTGTGTCTAGAAAAAACACCTCAAAAATTACCCACAAAAATATATGAGCCGCGTCACGACGAAACCAACATAATGAGTTTGCGACCAGCATGGATCCAGACCAGCCTGCGCATCAGTGCAGTCTGATCAGGATCCATGCTGTTCGCTTACCAACTCTATTACAAGTAGAGATGCTGATAGTGAACAGCATGGATCCTGATCAGACTGCGGGGATCTGGATCCATGCTGGTCGCAAACGCACTATGTTGGTTTTGTTGTGACACGGCTCATATTAGAATGCAAACAGTTTTGTAGTTCAGAGGATGTGTGACTGCTCAGTTACAATGAGTTGTTTCAGAGTCAAATTTTGTAATGTTGACATGGAGTGAGGAAGTTTTCAATGGCATTTATTCAGAAATTACTTGATTTGTTTTAAATATATGTATTATATATTTATATAATACATGGCATTAATCCCTTCAAAACATTTTCTTAATATACAGTGTAACAGAGAAATGTGTTAGATTCTATATTGTTTATGGGCCATTTTTATGAGGTTTTGTTGAAATCATGTATGTTAATCATTTTGATTTTTTTAAACATAGAGGGCAGACAATAGCAAGTTCTATTCAGTGCTGGATATGGTGAAATGTGATCAACCAATGGTTTATAATACACTTATTGATCAGGTAAGAGTTGTTATCCTCAAATTTACTGACATTTTATAAAAAAAGTTATCAAATTCTTCAGTCCTTAGAGTACTATCATGAACCGGCAAGTTGTAATTTCAATTATTTATAACTTTCATGTCAGAGCTAAGTAGAGTATTAGCTCTGTTAAATTTTATTTTATAAAATTTTTTAAATAATTCAAAGATATTTTTTAAATTTACATATGTTTTGAATTAAGCAAGGTGTTTCATATTGTGCCCCCTGTAAAAGGAATAACTCAGTCAAGCAATTTGACAGAATTACCCCTTTTTACTTTTGTTTAGTTAGAATTTTTGAGTTATAGTTCAATTGTTTATGGAAGTTTGATAGTTTGAACTACGGGTGTTCAAATACTGAGAGGAGGGGGTAAATTTCAGCATTTTTTGACAGAATTATGCCTATTTAACACTTAATTTTGACTAAAGTGTTTTTTAATACTAATATAACTTCGTAAGTTTATTGACATATTGCTTATGAAACTTGCACACTGGTTCGACTCATGAACCTCTCAACCATGAAAACAGGAAGATAATTGAATCAATTTATGTTTTTTTACCCACAAACTGATATTCACATTTTTACACAGTGTAATATGCATGTCAAATAACGTTATATTTATTATTTGGATAATTGATTTACTAATAGTTTTCAAATCGAATCAATAGAAGGTACTTTAGTAAATTTATATTGTATTTAAAATTTGGGGTTTTAGACACTGTTCAAGGATGATAAATCACCGAAAATTTATGATTTCATTTTACCTCATACTGTTTAGTAAGATTAATGAGTTATACTCATTTTTTCTGAAAAGGCTGTTTGAATAAGGCTGCAAAAATACTGCCCCGCAGAGGAATTAACGTCTTATGCAGATTAAGGTTAGATAAAAGACTTCTGTAATAATGAACCTTCCCGTTAAAATGAATAAATTTTTTTGCTAGTTAAAAATGCAACCTGCTTATTACTATCATACGGACACTAAAAAATTTGATACAAATCGAAAAATTAACAATAAAAGCTGTACTAGTCGATTTTAAGAAATTTAGCAATCTAACGGTTGGAATCCAAAGGCAAGTTTTTTGGTTTTATGATTCTGCTAATAACTTCTAAATAGGAATCATGTTGTTTTTTCCAGAGGACAGTAGAATGTGTGTTGCTCATTGATGATGGCAGAATGGCAAGGCAGGTGATGGACCCTGATAAGAGACCAGGTCCTCCCAGGAATTCTAGAGAAGTGTGGAATTTTTTTAATGCATTTGTAAACAAGCCTTTGGCCATATATTTGTGCACTAAGATTGATCATAGTCAAGTTAAGTGTTTCTAAATAGGTTTCGTGCTAAATAGTTGTTTTTTTTTTCAATAATTCAGTCAAAACTATTGTTGCAATGAAGTATATACATACTTAAAGCAAATTAAAATGAAAGGAACATACATGTAAACACGAAACTTTAAAGGAGCATAGTATGAAGAACAAAATGTTTCATTACAATTAGCATAATCAAAGTAAAATGAGCACATGAATAGATCAACGGGGTATATGAAATTTTTATATTTGTCCTTGATATCATCCATGTAACATGAAATAAATACAAGCATATAGTGTTATAATACTGTTTCTTATTATCGTGTATAATTTCAGGCATTTACTGCTCAAGGGGATCAAGTATTCAGTTTCCCAACATTCCGATATTACTCCAGCAACCAGGACAAAGCCAAGTTTCTTACTGCTAATGTAGAGGAGGATATAGCAGCTCTAGTCAGTCAGATAGAGGTGTTACATCAAACACTGTCTCAGATAAAACAACAGAAAACACAGCTTGACTCGGAGATTCAGGTCAACACAAAACAGGAGAGGAAAGCAGAAACCACTTTGATGAAGATCAGAGAAGAGAAAAGAAAACTGTCACTGGTATGTCGATTCTGTTTGTTTTACATGCATAGATCTTTGCTGTGGGTAATTTTGATATATTTGATTAAAAATGTAGACAGCAATAAAGAAACTTAAGTAGATAAAATTCACACTAAAATTTTGAGTTTGAAACCAACATGGGAAATATTTTACTATTTAAGTTTATGGAAGCTATCTAGATAATTCAATTTCAGCGTGTTTCATTGACTAATAAAGTTTTTGCACAATCATCTCCATGGCAAATCTCCCAATTGTAAAACACATTTGACATCTGATCCTAAAAGAGACAGGCTGAGTAATGATTTAAAACCAAAAAAAGAACCAAAATGAAAGATTGATGTATATCACTTTCTGTATGCCATGTTATGCTTGCCTCCAACTTTATTTATTTGTTAATAAAAAAAATCCAACTTTTTTGTGATTTTTAGGAAATTAGTGAGTTGAAAAACATTGAGGATCCAGCACCAGTAGATGTTGCTACTTATGTAAGTTGTTCTATATTTAATGATGTTTCAATGAATTCATACATGTAAATGAAATATGTACATTCTTCAATCATAATAATCTGTTAATACTTTGCCTTTAGTGTCCAATAAAATATATTCCTTAGAATTATTTAAAGTGAATATTAATGATTTTAAGATTGACGTTTGTTGATAATTAACAGATAGAGTGGCTTTTTTATCCAAGACTGTGAAAACATATTCTTTACCAAACAGGAAAAATTGACCATAGAAAGACACTTCCATTATTACTAGGGCTGGGGCGAGTATTCGAGTACTCGGATAATCATGATTCAAAATGAAAAATCGAGTATGAATATTCTTCAGTCCAGAGATCGTGGATCGCGATTTTATTTGTTTATTATATATTCGTTGTTTCTCACACTCTAAAAGTTGAAAAAAAATGAATACAATTTGAGTATAAATTGGGCATTATGCAACGTTTCAGCATGCCCAGTAACGCACAAACGTGTGTTTTTAACGCAGAAAATACAAAGAGTACGCAAATTTTTCAAGGTCTGTGCGTCCAAAAACGCACACTTTTTGCCGATGGGAAATGAACAAAATCGACAAAAATTTGTGGCCCGCAACCTAAACTGTATGTAAAATAACCAAAATTTGGTGGCCATTGACCTAAAACGCTTGACAAATTCAAGCACCTACGTGTTACGTCATAATATTAAAGAAACAGTTAAAACTGTCTATTTTTTAGCTCACCTGAGCATGCTCAGGGTGAGCTTTTAGGATCGATGATTGTCCGTCGTCCGTCCGTCCGTCGTCCGTTCACATTTAGTTGTTAACACTCTAGCGGTCACATTTTTGCCTCAATCATCATCAAACTTGGTCAGGATGCTTATCTAGTTGATAGCTCGGATGAGTTCGAACATGGGTCATCTCGGATGAGAAACTAGGTCACAAGAGCTAAAAATAGAAAAACCTTGTTAACACTCTAGAGGTCACATTTTTGCCTCAATCATCATCAAACTTGGTCAGGATGTTTGTCTAGGTGATAGCTGGGATGAGTTCGAACATGGGTCATCTCGGATGAAAAAGTAGGTCACCGGAGCTAAAAATAGAAAAACCTTGTTAACACTCTAGCGGTCACATTTTTGCATCAATCATCATCAAACTTGGTCAAGATGCTTGTCTAGGTGATAGCTCGGATGAGTTCGAACATGGGTCATCTCGGATGAAAAAGTAGGTCACCGGAGCTAAAATAGAAAAACCTTGTTAACACTCTAGCGGTCACATTTTTGCATCAATCATCATCAAACTTGGTCAGGATGCTTATCTAGTTGATAGCTCGGATGAGTTCGAACATGGGTCATCTCGGATGAAAAAAAGTAGGTCACCGGAGCTAAAAATAGAAAAACCTTGTTAACACTCTAGCGGTCACATTTTTGCATCAATCATCATCAAACTTGGTCAAGATGCTTGTCTAGGTGATAGCTCGGATGAGTTCGAACATGGGTCATCTCGGATGAAAAAGTAGGTCACCGGAGCTAAAAATAGAAAAACCTTGTTAACACTCTAGGGGTCACATTTTTGCATCAATCATCATCAAACTTGGTCAGGATGCTTATCTAGTTGATAGCTCGGATGAGTGTGAACATGGGTCATCTCGGATGAAAAAGTAGGTCACCGGAGCTAAAAATAGAAAAAACCTTGTTAACACTCTAGTGGTCACATTTTTGCATCAATCATCATCAAACTTGATCAAGATGCTTGTCTAGGTGATAGCTCGGATGAGTTCGAACATGGGTCATCTCGGATGAAAAACTAGGTCACAGGAGCTAAAAATAGAAAAACCTTGTTAACACTCTAGTGGTCACAATTTTGACTCAATTGTCATCAAACTTGCGTCAGGAAACTTGTCTAGGTCATTGCTGGGAAGAAATTGAACATGGGTCATCTCGGATGAAAAAGTAGGTCACTGAGCTAAAAATAGAAAAATCTTGTTAACACTCTAGTGGCTACTGTTGTGATCCAAATATTCTGTTAATTGGTCTGAAAGTTTGTTTTGATGATTTCTAAGTCAAGTTCGTACATTGGTCATCTTGGATGAAAAAAAACTAGGTCACACCGCCCAAATATGGAAAAACCTTGTTAACATTCTAGTGGTCACATTTTCGACTCAGTTATCATCAAACTTGGTCAGGATGCTTGTATAGGTAATTGCTTGGATGAGTTCGAAATCGCATGTGGAACTAGGTCACCGGAGCTAAAAATAGAAAAATCTTGTTAACACTCTAGTTGCTACTGTTTTGATCCAAGTATCCTTGAAATTGGTCTAAAAGTTTGTTTTGATGATTTCTAGGTCAAGTTTGAATATGTGTCACCTGGGTAGAAAACTAGGTCGCACTGCTCAAATATGGATAATCCTTGTTAACACTGTAGTGGTCACATTTTTGACTCACCTGTCATGAGACTTGGTCAGAATGCTTGTCTAGGTAATTGTTTGGATGAGTTTGATAAATCAGGTGAGCGATCTAGGGCCATCATGGCCCTCTTGTTTTTTTAAGAAACACAACAGTAAGTTTATTCTTGAGGTTGCAAACGGGAATAAACTGTAATAATCTCAATTATATATTCATTATGAACGTATGAAAATGCAAACCAAAGTGTGACTAACAAAAAATTTAGTTGGCCGTCATGGCCTAATTTTCCGCCGCGGTTAATAACTGTCAGCTAACATGTCACATGACCAATGATTTTTCGTAAAACTTGATGTCTGTCTTAATTCTAAAATGTATAAAAACTATATTGTTATTTTGTTACCAGAAAAAGAGAAAACAACAACATGGTACATTTATAAAATGTTTACTATTTCGGAAAAATAAATTTCAAGTTTGTATTTTATGTTTTGGAAATTATGGGCCACTCGAAAAAACAACGGGATAACCAACGTGGTTTTGTTTGGGAAAAAACGGTATGCCGACCGGAAGGAGGCTTGAACGAAAATGTTAGTCATAAATTAATTGACCAAAACAGTATTGGGCCAAACATTAACAGAATACTAGTCCACTTATGTTTACCAGTTGTCTTATGATATACCAATACGAACTAAAAATTGACAAAGACCGACACCCTTCCCATTATCGTACGGAAACCTATAATAATATCGGGCTACCGGACAAAAGCCCACGGAGCCAAATAATAGTACATCAACAAGCGGACCAGCTGACAACCACTGATACCTTCCATTATCCTACCGAATAACCGTAAAAATAATGAAAACTACCAGAAGCTTTCACGGGCCTAAAGTACGAATACCGTTAAAAACCCACACAGATTTTCCCCAAAAGCACTAGGGGAAAATATCGGGTTTAACCTGACACAAAAAAACTTGTGTCACAAAATTTTTTACCAAACACTTTAACCCCGTGTCACACTTTATCCCGACACTTTCCCTGTGTCCCCCATTTTTAAAACCGACAAATAACTGTGTCATACTTTATCCAAACCCCTTACCGGGTACATTTAATACCGAAAATCCCACTGACCTACTTTCCCGACAAAAAAAATTTAGAATTTTTAAACCCCCAAAGATTAAATTTTAATTTTAAACGCTGTTTTAAAATACCCCGGGAAATTAGTTAAGACCTAGAAAAAATTGTTAACCAGAGGGCCCCGCCTCCGATCGCCCAAAATTTTTTTTTCCCGCCACAGTAAATTTTGACACAAAAAATTTATCCTCCAAAAAAAATAGCGATGAACACTTATTTAATAAAATTTTCAAACAATTGCATCTTTCAAATAGTCTAAATAAAACTCCAAGCCTACAATGTTTAAATGGATACCATCAGGGCGGAAGAAACAGGCGTCATTAATCTCAGTGGTAATAAACGCCCCCCTTCCCAGACTCCGTGACAATTCTTCGACCTAATCTATTTTAAACGCTTTCTCTTTAAGTTTAAGGCTTGTTTTGATTTTCCGGCCAAGTTCGTGGAGGATATCCATCCACACAAAAAAGGGTGTCAGGAAAAGGCATCACGTAAATAGTGGATTTCCTGTTTTATGAGATTTCTTATGTTGGGTGTTTTAAACGATTGCAAGTCGATTTTCCCCCCAAGTTAATAATTACCATTTTAGGTGGCTGAGAAAAATAGAACCTGCAATTCAATGTGACGCCTCAATTCCCGACCAAACCAAGGCCTCTTTTTCCCCACCATGCAATTGGAGCCACACCGTCGATCTTAAAATTGCTTCTTGTAAAAGTGTCAGATGCGTGAACCCGGCCCAACCTACGGCAAACGAATCGCCCTAACACCCAGACATCTGAATAAAATAGAATTCAGGTTGAAACTTAACGTACATACAGCTTTTAAAAGAGTTAGAGGACCATTCGACCCTAATTTCATAATGGCATCTGATGGATAACTAGCGATAGGCCAGATCAGTCGCCCGACCAATCCTAAAAACTGTGTGTCCGGAAAAATGGCCCGGCTCGATAACGGGGGTCTTATTCAATAGCTAGCGATAGCGACACGAGAAATTGTGACCTCAAAATTGGTGCTCCGTTTTTATGGACAAAAACAAATTGAAAACCTTTTGATTCGGATCTTTAAATATTCTAGTATCTCAGAACAGGACATAATCCATTCATATTCCTAGGCAGCTTGATGATAGCTGGATTACCATATTGGCTTGTTTTTATAATGGCGAAGACAGATAACGATATACTGTTCATTCTCTTCAAAGTGTACATCGTTAAGCAAAATTGCCATGGCCAAGATGATAAATACTTGAAGCTGTAAGTTCACTGACACGAAAAAAGGCCAAAAATAAGCAAGCGTGATGAACAGTGCTCGAAATAATGTGGTTTCATAATTATCATAACAAACGGAGTGTAAATTAAGGCATATTTCCTAATACATGTATTGTAAGAGGTGCCCGTAAATCTTGCGTAGGTCTACTTTCTGCAAACCAGCCCTCTAATTAATTTGTTAACCATAAAGACTTTGATTTAAAACTCTTAAAACCGAGGATTTTATGAACGTAGTTAATTCCTGCCAAATATGTTAGTGATTGATTTAGGGGATTTAACCCTTCTCCAAAGCAAAATGGTAAAATATTAAAATCATATGAATCGACCGGAATTGGCCAATCAGAAGTTAAATTATATTCGTGCCCTAAATTTTAATTTTTTTTAAATGACCTTATGGCATTATTATATTACGGATCATCGAATTTGGAGCTACGCTGAACTTTAAAGCAACTGTCTAGGCTCTTCCCTGAAATTGCTCCATAGAAAAATGAGGTCACTAGGACGGGGCTCGGGGTCTGCTTCCGGGGCGAGTGATCGGAATCGGGATAGCTGTAAACGAGGGACCAAAAGAGTCACAAATAGCTTTTGATGAAAACCAGGCCACGTGAGTTGACCTTATCCAGATATTTTAGTTTTAGGCAACGTAGTGTTATTAAACGTACCAGTCTCATTACTCTACAAGACTTTGAAGAACAATTTATTTAATATATGAACAACTGCTATATTATCCACAGTGAAATTGAATCTTCTTATTCAACAGCTGATCTCCCCAAATATATAATGCTACCAAAATCGGAAATAATTCAAGAACAGTAATATCTGAAGTAATGAACCGGATTCGTGGGCCATTCAAGGGGCCATTATTCGCATAACACCAGTGGACCCCAAAAATATACACCAAATTCCTAAATTTGGTCCCCCTGCGCTATCTGTGAAACAAAAAAAGTTGAAACCATCAACATTCGATTACCAGTACTTGTCATGGGAAATAAGGATAAACCATTAAAAATCTTTGAAGAAAACGATAACCACATTTTTTAAAATCCAATCTTATCTCTTTTTAAGCCTTATGCGGTGAAATGGTTTAGTTAAGCCCGCATATAGAATCAAAATTAATCACGTGAAAAAGTCTCCCATGGTATAAGCCCGACAACAAAAATTAAGATACACCAATTAATGACTGCATTTTTTTCAACGTTTTTTTTTTTATGAGATAATAATCTCTTCAATTTTTAAGACAACTTCCTGGATTTTTTTACTCCCGGAACCTTTAACCGTCATATTATTTGAATCGAGTTCGAGGCCTAAAAACGTTAATACTTCTGTTCAGGGTCCCTCTGTTTTCTCTTCCTCAAGTGGAACACCCAACTCGGACATAGTAGTTTTAAAAATTTGAAATGCTTCTGAACAAGAATTCAAAAAGTAATATCCGCGCCCAGAAAATCATCTAAATAATGTATTTAATCCTCCTGCCTTTTAAAATTTACGGAGAGCACTAAACTCAAGGAAACGCGAAAAAATCTTTCAAAAGTTATGCAGCTTATTGATGCGCCGAAAGGCAAAGCTTTATCAAAATAAAAGTTATTATTAAAGCAGAAACCAAGTAATTCAAAGTCGGACGTTTAATAGGGATCCAATCTGTAAGCACTACGAAATATCCGCTTTTAAATAGTTTACAATTCTGACCCAAATTCTGGATAAGTTTAACCGCGTTCATCAAAAACTAGTTGTACTGTTACCGTGCATAGGTTAGGATCAATGTAATCATTTATTGATTCACCAGGGGGATATGATAAATGGTGAATGAGCCTATATTCACCCGGTGTCTTTTTGGTACAAGCCCAATAGGGGAGACGATTAGTTTTGGCAATGGCCGATTGTAACAAAACGGACCAGCTACCCTACCCAATGTCAATTTCTTTATTAATTTTTGATTGTATAAGTTTCGGGGTTTAAATCCTGGTTTCAGAGCGCAAATTTTTTGGGCATTTCGTGGTTGCACGTGGACCGTTATATTGAATGGGAAAAAACCGTCAAAAATCCTTGTAATAAAAATACCACCTTCGGTTTTGTTCATTTAATATCTTAAATAATCGTCTTAAAACCCTAAACATTAATTGGTGATGGAGACTTAAATTAAATATCCTGATTATGAGATATTGATTTTTTTTTTTTTTTTTTTTTCCACGAATTGTTTGGACCACATTAAATTTTTTCTTTGCTGATTGGGAATGATCCTTTAGGGTCTAACGAAAGGTTATTAGTTAAAGTTAGACTGTTGTATTCCGAAGACTTGTTTGTATTCGACTGTGGACCAGACCACGTGCCATTCTTGATTTCCGATGAGACCGTGACATTTTCGAGCACGTGTTGTTGAGAACTTAACAATCAGGCACGTTGCATGAACCTGAATTGGGAAGGGTTAATGTATATCTCCTCCACGTTTGAGGGGGTTTTTTGTTAAACAGAGCCCTTCAATGCATACAGCCGCCACCACAGATCGTTTATTTCTTTTGACCAGGGGGCTGGTGTATTGCTTCTGGAGACGAAATTGTCGTGTTTCCCCGCAATACGACCCTTGTCTTTGCAGCGGCCTTCTCTAATGTTATACATAAAGGTGTAAAATTAGCTCATAGCTTTTTGTCAGGCGTTGATTTTGACAAAACACGACGCATTATCAAAAATGCCATTAGCTTCCCATTTTTCAAATGTCGGGAAATCTTTTTTGCCAATCTCTTCGGAACATGCTTCAATTTCCCCATTTAAACGTTAAATTTAAAAAATTAACCATTCACAAATATTGGGAGAGTTTTCCCCGGGTTCCCTTTTTAACATCAATGTAAATTAACATATTCTTCCCCACAAATTTTTGTTTTTGATGAAGATTGGTAAGTGCGGCCCGCAATATCGTTCTGTTCTGCTAAACGAGGTAACGGGATTGGGACGCATGCGAGTTATCGCGCATGGCTTACCGTTGAAAAGAAAATCCCCGTTGTGGGGGTTGCCACGTTAATAAAGGAGGGAATATTATTATTTACTGAAACCACTGCCACAACCCCATTTACTTAAATCATTTGAACCTGAATTATTATTAATTTACTAACGTTACTATTCGGTAACAATTGACTAAGCTCTCCATAATTTTTGTTTTTCCAAAAAAAGGTTTTTCTTTTAATTGGGAAAAAAATTTGGACGAACCTGGCGTTGGGACTGTAAAGACGTGTCTTTGGCTTAGGGATCACCGTCCTCCTCTGCCTGGCCTTTTCCGCACCCTGGTCTGTACATTATTAGGCTGGTTTGCAGTTATTTACTGGCCTTGAAGCCCTTAAAACTTTGGTACTTCTCTACCACGTGGCATTCCAAACAACGAGGATTTCCGATGTACAAATCCGAAGAGTTAAAATTTGAAGTTTAAGTCGGACAGCGAGTTGTAAAACTGAGAGACCGAGTTTCACGTGCTTATATAGTTGTTGAGAGTGATATTGGTTCCGTTTACTACCTAACTAATATATACACCGAAATGGAACCAGTGATTTGTAAACAAAAATCTCGTTCGAACGAGATTGAAATAATTTCTTGAAAAAATAAAGGAATAATAAAGGAAATTATTTTAAGGGAAAAATAATTTATATTATTGTTTGATCTGAGTGATCATATTTTTTTTGTCTTTTCAATTCACTTCAGATGTCGTGAATGTTTTATCACACGATATTTCTAGTAACAAAGGTCTGTTTTTATTAGTGACAAATACTGTAATAAAATTAGAATATAATTAGAACATAGATCTACATTATAATGAGAAAAAAATGAAAATACAAAAATAATGGTAATTAAATAAACATTTTTTTGGGGAAAAGTGGTACCAGAGATGTTAAAATACATGTATTTATATGTATCTGGTGGTACCTGAACCCACTTTTTTCAAAACAGGTGGGTCTTGTTCCCACTTTTAAACAAATCAGTGGGCATGCTGGCGTTTACTTAAATACAATAGGCCGATTAAAGACAGGAATTAAACAAGTACCATGATGCTGAGTTAAGAAGTCATTGGTTTCGAAATAAAGAATAACTAGTCTTTTTGAGCACTATGCTTTTAAAGGAAAATAAATATTTTAGTCGCTATATATAGATTTATAATAACCTGACATGTATCGAAGACGATTTTATTTTTAATCATTCAAAATATGCGAAACTCAAGTTAATGATTACGTTAGTGTGACATCACACATCCTCTCTGGAACAATTGCTGAAAAAGTCGTGCTGAAGATAATTTTACTTCCAATGTTCGGAAATATTTGTCTTTTCATGTGATTAGACAAGTTCGTTTTACCACCGGTATAAGTCAATTCGCCATGGCATGTTTAACAAACTGTTTTTTTCTCATTTTCAATTGAAATACAAAAGTATTTCCAAACATTGGAAGTAATTTAAATTTTGCTGGTGGCATTTTATATTGGTGCGACATCTTTTCAACCTTTAAATTTAGTTTATATATGCATATATGTTCAATGTTTAGCATTTTTTAAAGAAAAATAAACATGATTTCAAAACTTATTATTACATATTTTTATGGGTGTCTTGATAACAAAAGATTCGTGGTTCGATTTGTGTATCGTAAGTGATGAATCGTGGACCGGATCAGACCGTCACTTATCCTACAATCCACACCCCTAATTATTATGATGTAAATGTATGTTACATGTTCTAGGAAGAAGAAGTGAAGATGTTAGAAGAGTTGCTAGCTAATGATACAGCTCAGTTAGAGAGTAAGACAACTGTTTATCAGGAACAAGAACAGGTACAAGAGAAACTGCAAGAAGCATACAAGGAAATTGATGTTCAAATAAGGTCCAAAATTGATGCTGGTGATGCTATAAAGGTAAGTTTTTATGATACATACATGTATACAAAAGTTATTTTTTACAGAAAATTAAACTTATTTTGTACGATAGATGAATATAATATTCTGTTTATCGCATACCCAAAATGAAAGTGAAAAATGATTCATTTTTCATTGACGGCCATGCAATACCATTTTAACAGAGTCACAAAAGCAGCATGGGTATGTGATAGATGGAAATATGATGAGTAATGCTTACAGCTATTTCTTTTATACATTGTTGAGGAAGGTTATATAGAAATAAGAGTTTGGAGGTCAAATAATTTTTAATTTAAAAAATATAATTTTGAAAGTCTTGAGATGTTTTATCTTAAAGAAAATAACAAAAACAATTTTATTGCAAGTGTTGAGTTTGTATGATTTTTAATTTAAAAAAAAAGCTATAAACCTGTGACTTCATTTATATTTTACAGGAAGGTGTTGGCAATGTTGTTAATGAAATAGAGACATGTAAAACAAACAAGAAACATTATGACAGCAAGCTGAAAGAACAGGAAAAGAAAATTAAAGAACTTAAAGAGAAACTGGATAAATACAAGGCTGAAATTGAGGTACAGAATAATGTAAAAGATAAATGTTATAAATTTTCTGATGGTACATATCTATGAAAGTATTCTGTAATAAAATTACTGTAAAATACAATAAACCAAAAAAACTAACAAACAAACTGCTATATAATTGATAAAATGTCTTAATGAAAGTTTTACATACATGTATATTTATGTGCAGAGTGATGTGGAAAAGGCTCAGACTATTCACAGTGAAAGAATAAATACTCGAAGGTCCCCTACTAACTTGAAAAGTGAGATTCTGCAGATAGAAAAACAAATAAAAAATGAAGAAAAAAGGTAACCACTTACATAACTTTACAGACCTTAAGTTAATTCTTTGATATAATGTCAGTTATAATTCATTTAACAACACTTTGAATAATTCTTTGTCCATGAATATTGCAATTTTCAAGAAAATATTGAAAATACCTTTTAGATTACCCCTTCGTAAGGTCAATAAAAAAAACAATTTGTTCAACATCAATCGGCTTCTCCAGTTAGTCTTTTTCGCAGCATATTTAACATTGGCAGTCATCGAAATTTGCACAAGCTTAACTGGTAATGTGATTTCCTGGCTAGAAAAATTATACAATTTATTTATTTGGGCTTATAAGAAATTTTAGTTTTTATACAGGCTTGTGAACTTAAAGATGATTTTCATGGGGATTTGCTTAACTTTCCTATTTTACCATTTCCTCAAGTAATTTATATGAAGGACTTGTTGGAATTTGCTTCAACAGATGTACATAGTTTGGGAACACTTGTCGGGTATCTCTTCTCCTACCCTGTCACTCCCCTGATGTTTAATGGGAGTTGAATCTGGAGACATTAAGAGTGAATCAATTCAATTAACTGCCATTTCTCTCATAATGTAAGCAAGATATAACCATAAGGGTTTTTTTCACTCTTGTTTTGTTTTGTTGATGTTTTCCCCTTATTTGTTATCATTTGTTTATTTAAGGCGGGGAGACCCAGATGAAATTACCAGAAACTATAAAGAAAAAAAAGATTCTTATTTAAAAATAAAAAATGAAGTGAAGCAGCTTAGAAAATTTATTGAGGTAAGTTTAATATCCAGTTGCTTTTGCTTGCTTTTATGTACCAAATCATTTAAGAGTTTTCTATGAAAAAATGGTTCTTGCCAAGTTATTACTGTACCTAACTTTGTCACTCTATATGTGTGTGCAATGTTTAGCTATTATTTTAGATAAGAATAGGCCAAGAGATGAATCTGGTAAACCGTTAGTCTGCAGGCTGCAACAGATTTTATACCTGACATATACCATATGGTCATGGTCTGTACTGTTTGTTATACATTTGGTACATATTTTAAAAATTTTCCCTGAAACTGATCAATGGTTTAGTCTGTATTGAAATATGGACAAGTCCATTTAAGATATTTAGCAGAGTAATGGTTATGGAAAGTGGACATAAGCTTTAAAAGTGTGTTGTCTTAAATGATGAAGGTTTGTCTAGAATTATTTTTGGTTCACCTCTGTCTTTATGATTTATTTGACAAGATTTGCAGTAGTTTCTTGAAGTGTCAAATTTTATGTAGTCTTAACATTATGTGCTTTCTATCGGCATACTGTACATATCAGTTTCAACAATGGCAGCAGAATGTATTGGTGACGTATGGATATTTAGATAAAGAACAGTATGTAGTCATAACTTATAGTGTCATCCTTATTGCTTGAAGAAAATTGCTCATTTATAATAAATGTTATAAAAATATTTTTAAAAGTCAAAATTAAATGAGTCAGTGTACTTGTTAAGTCACTTTGTACGTAGATACCTGATGAATTTTGACTATATATAAACTCACAAGAATACATTGTAAACATTGGTGGACATCGTTAATAATTAATAAAACTTAACTTCATTCTGGCTTGATTAGTGTTTATTATGCAGTTGTGTATTTTGTTGTAAGTTACATGTCTAATTTGAAATTGTTGTATTTCAGCAACTAGATAAAGCATTAAAAATCCGAGTAGATGCAGTTAATAAGATACGTCAGAGTTTAACATGGAGGGTTAAAGTGATTTTTATTAGAATCCTTAATGCCAATCCATCATTGGAAGGGAAACTTGAAATTTCTAATAAAAGAGAAATTATACTTTTAGATGTAAATATAGATTTATTTCATATGAATTCAAACCAGGAAAAAAGTTTCAAACTGTAAGTGTTCTTTGTTTTCTATTTTATATGTTTGATCATAATGTTTTGGATACAGAGGCGGCATAATTAATTGTCCTTATTGCACAGATTGTACTACAGTCTGTGCAGAAAAGTGAAAATTTCCCAAATTCACTTTATGAATATCTTACAGACAAAAAAAAAATGGATAGATAAAATAAACATGTCAGGCAAAACCCTGGTTTATGTAAGGGTCAATGAAATTGAATTCCCTTGACAATTGTAAGTTCTGTTGTAAACAAAATAATGTTTTTTTCCTGGTTTGATGCTGCTCAATTCTGTGTGTCTTTATTAAAACTTTCAGCCTTATTTTAACCCATTATGCCTATGTAGATAGACAGATATTTATATATATCCTAGCTATAGAATGATATTCATGACCACTTATTTACCTAAGCAGATTACTGTAGAAAAATGACTTTAGTTATACCTATTTACCACACTAGATAGCTACAATTCACCATAATTTCAGTCAAGCAAAATTGCAGCCAGTTTTATTATTTATCCTTTTAGGCTGAAAAAAAATGCAATTACATTGTTCTTGATTAAATATTGCTAGAAATAGATCAGACTCACAATTCACCTATATAAATAAGATATAAGGGTTGTTTTTTTTACTTCAAAAGCCTTTTCTTATAAAAAATTATAAGCCAATTAACAGATTGTAATGCTAACAGTTGAAAGTGATTTGGTCCATAATGGAACATTTGTAACACCATTAAAGCAGCATACCTCCAGATTCCAGCTAATTTTTATGTAACTTTTGAATATGTATTAAAATGTAAAATATTTTGAAGTGAACAAAGGAAATAATTTACACAATGCAAACAGAACTTACAACCCATGTAAATTACCAAAAAGGTATCTTAAACATGCTGTAGAAATATGGCAAAAAATACTCCACAAAGTCTGCGATTTTTCACAAATGACATGGAAATTACTACTTTTATCTTGAATCTTTATATCTTTCAAAAATCTCAGTACATTTTTCTCATGAAGTTTTCATTTTCATGAAGTATGTTGGCTCATCTGGAGGTGTGCAGCTTTAATACTTATATTGATAGTATCTAATATCATGTGTGACAACAAACCATGAAAAAATTGACGCTGTTGGGAAGAGTTAGATACATGATTCAATATAATATATCTATGTTAGCATTTAAAAAATTGTTCTAAAACAAAATATTTTTATAGGTCAAATAAATGTTCAACATATTGGTTTTAAGAAATATTTTATAAGAACATCAAATGATACATATCAATATTTGAAATACTTAATTAAAATATGCCCATTGTAGACCATTCCACTTATCTGTCTGTCTATTCCCTCAGTTTGACTTCATTTTTTCCAGCTATTGGACTCTTATTATCAGTTTTGTGGGTTTTTTAAAGGTGATATAATGTTCTAATGGTATTTTTGTGGTGGGTTCTTTTGCATTTAACGTTTGCTAAGAACAACAGTACTGCTTGATATCAATATAACTTGATGCAATTTGAGTATGCACAAAATGTATTTTAAAAAAAATAAAAGAATTTGGGCCCCCACCCAAAAAAAAATCTTGCACCAGTACCTTGATTCTAAGATTCACTGATGACAGAAGTCCTCATTAAGTTGCCATATAGCTTTTTTTTAATTGACTTGTCTTCAAACCAAACCCAAAAACATTGAATAAATATTATGTGTGTGTCTCTTGTAAAATGGTCATTTAAATTGATTGAAAATTTAATATTTTATTCCCACTATGAATATTAAAAGAACATAATAAACAGATGTGTCACTTAGATTTTCTTTATAGTGATTTAAAGAGTCACAGTTCAATTTGACATTCCTCTAACAGTTTCACTCTTACTATAATCACTAACATGTTAAAAACTATAATTTCTTTAAGACACAGTGCATATATATGATACAATACGGTGTTTTCACAGAAACAGGACTTGTGTAGTAGAACTACATTTTCACCATAGACTACTTACACTTTTTACCAAGTTCTTACATATAACACTCATTCTGTTTGTAAATTTTTAATGTCTTTGTAAATTGTTCTTGCTTGTTTGTAATCTTCTGAGCACTTGTTATAACAATGATCAATATATAGCACTAGCACACAACCAAGAGAGTTTGTACATCTGTGCATGTTAACTGCACTATGCTCTTTGACTGTTTGATTTTATTATATGGACAATGAAGTCACAAAAATTTAACATGCTGAATTTGTATAAATGGATTTGTCTTGCTTTTTAATTTGGAACATTTTCAAATTTAAGACAAATTATGCCTCAAAAACAAATAAATGTTTACTTCTTTGGAAAGGGCAAGTATCAGTTTTATAATGTTGATTTAAAAGATTTAGAGAATGTTAGAACTATTTGTCATGAAAATAGCAAAATGTAAACAAAGTAGTATTTTGACTTCCATACACAACGCTGATTCACGCTAGTACTGATTGCCAACAAGCAACAGAAGGAGAGATGATACAGGTAATTGGCCAATAGTGAATACATAACATGTTGGAAACTCAAAAAATAAAAAACTTTGAGAATTGAAAATAAAAGAAAATGTTTTTATAAATGTACAAAGTGTCAGGTCATGCAGTATAAAGAAACACACACACAATATAAAAAAAATAGTGCTTGAGCAAAAATGCCATGTTTTTCTAAAGATTTAATAGTTTGAAAATTGTATATCGGTAAGTGGTTTAGTTCAAGAAAAGTTTGATATTTTTGCATGTCCACTAAAATCACAAAGATATTAGCCAGCGAAAATTTCATCAACAACTATAGTTCATACGTGTCTTGATAAAATGACGGATATTGGAGATAACCATTCCATACCATGGATGAATCATTGACATCAACTGTGTCATTCAGAAATTCTAATTTTACAATCTTTTCAATATGCAAAAATATCCACTTGCACAGTATACACAGCTTCTTTTAGTGCACAAATGTTTAATAAAATGTAAAGCTCTACTAACTTTGTGTAAATTGCTTTCAGTTCTTTTGTGCATTGTGTATATCTGTTTGCTATTCTTCCAGGGATGTAATTGATTCAGGAATATCACAGAATATTTGAGCCGCGTCACGACAAAACCAACATAATGCGTTTGCGACCAGCATGGATCCAGACCACCCTGGGCATCCGCGCAGTCTGATCAGGATCCATGCTGTTCGCTTACCAACCCTATTACAAGTAGCAAAACTGATAGCGAACAGCATGGATCCTGATCAGATTGCGCGGATGCGTAGGCTGGTCTGGATCCATGCTGGTTGCAAACGCATTACTTTGGTTTTGTCATGGAGCGGCTCATTTATTATTTTGACACTGTAACAAAGTAACAATAATTGGCTTATGTAACAACTTCATTAACTAGACTAAAATGTTACTGTTAAGTTGCTAGACTACAGCATTCAAGTGAACCATTAACTTTTATCAAATTTATTTGGAAGTTTTCAATTTACTACCATATATATAGGCTAATAGCATAATAGATTAAAGAATTAAGAATGAACCTGATGTATTCCTGATCAGTTATATACCTGTTGAATCCCTCACTGCTGTAGGTTTGAATCCTGCCAAAAACTTAAAATTCTTTCACTGGGGGAAGCTATCCATCTTAAGTCTAACCTCCCCAGTTAAGCTAGAAAAAATTGCCATATGACCAACAAAGTTGGTGTGACTTAATAACCAGCATAACCATGTCTGTTAACTTTTACAGTTAAACTTCGTTCCCTCGAACTCGGAAGACCTGTGCAAATTTGTTCAAGAGATCGGTAGTCGAGCCAACCAAGGTTATTGAAAATAGCCAAGATTGTCACAAGGTGTTAAAATCATGTGACACCGACTGTCACTAATTGAAAATGTTGACCTGCAACTTTTGTTGTCTTTTTGTGTTCGGATGAAATGGTGTGATTTTCACTATATTTCTGCCAAAGGGAGCAGAGATCAGGTTTGAGTGATCGGTGTTTACGTGTTCTGAGATAGAACGATATATATTGTATAGGAACTTTGCCGGTACAGGTCGATGAGTTTGAGCAAAGAGGTATTCAATTGAACGAAGTTTAACTGTATTATAAACTTATGTTAACATACGTTGAATATTTCAGACAAACATTTACATGGAGATGGAGTAATGAAGCTACTGTGGTATATATGGCACATATAGTACCGTAATCTATATAGTAATATAATTGTGTTATTTTCAGAGATTGGACCTCATTTTATCAAAACGTCATGAAAGCTACACAGAATTCAGGCGAATGATTGCTGTTAGAGCGAAATACTTTTTTATAGTACTACTGGACAGTAGACAGTATACTGGAAAAATGTCATTTAATCATAAAAATGAAACCCTTGAAATGACAGTAAGTTGGTTCCAGTTACATGTCGTCACAGTTTGCACATTTTAACCATTCCTTCGTTTCTTATCTTCTTTAATGCTTTTTTTGTATCTTTGCAAGAATTTCTTTGTAGTTTTTCACTTCTAACTCTGTTTTTTTTTTCTCCAAGTGCTAACACTGCCACAATGTTGGTATAATGCTAACAAAATATTTCGATCATATTTCTGGTCAAGGTTTATTCCACCGGATATTACATTATCGTATTATAACAAAGTCCAGAACAGTCAACTATAGCACCACCTTTATTTCTATTATTTATTTTTCCTCAATATATATTTTTCATTCTTATTATACCCCCAAAAACGAAGTTTGGGGGGGTATATAGGAGTCACCCGGTGGTCGGTCGGGCGGTCGGTCGGTCGGTCCAGACGTCCGTTGCATTTTGCTTGTCCGGAGCATAACTTGAAAACTAATGGTTGGAATTCAATATAACTACATACAATGGTCAAGCACATTGAGAGGAAGTGCAGTGCACAAAAACCATAACTCTATCTTGACTAATTACAGAGTTATTGCCCTTTGTTACTT